ACAGTGAAATTTTGTATATAGGACTGCTATAACATGTAGATGTGCGCCTCGTATTTTGGTTGCAATCGGCAGCACGAAACGTATATAAATATATATATATATATATATATCCACTCTGTTACCCAGCTCAGTGATCTCAGTTTCTTTACTCTTATATGTTTTCAAATTGTTCATTTTTTGCTTTAAAAATGATTGAATTATGTTGTTCTTATCTTCCGGCTAAAGGTTTTATTATTTGAATTAATTGAATGAGAAATACTGAATCGTCTGTGAAAAACTGTTTTTTTCTTTTGTTTGCTTAATTTCTCTTATACATCGTTCTAGATTTATTATAGTATTTGAATAGAACATGTGAGAACGATTAGGTAATTCTTCAAATGATATAAATTTTGTGCATTCTGAGTTACAATATGACCGATTAAAGACAACGGTATAATAATTAACAAACCTTTAGATATTGCTAATAAATTTGCCGGTACTTATAAAAAGCAATTTACCGTCAATCAATTCTACAACACAAATAATTCGCTCATCTGCAGTTATGTAACCGACTTTCTCTCCGCCCAGCAAAATAAAAGAAATTATCCTACCTGACTTAATGAAATTAAATCTTTAAATACTAAATTAAATCCTAAAATACCAGCAAGTTTCGACACCATCACTAATAAAGCACTCATGGAACTTCCCAGAAGAGGAATTGTGCAAATCACAAATAGCTTTAATGCCTGCAGAGTCAGAACTTTCTTTTCACAATATTGGGAAAACACTTGGAAGATATATATCGTCTGTGCATGCCTGTTGGCCGCAACTATCGCCTCAAGAAGGCTGGAGTCCGGTCGCACACGTGTCATCACTCAAAGGAAAGACCGTCGTATACCCCACATGCCTATGGCGCATTGGACAGCATCTGCAGCAGACATTCCAGCTTTTATTATCACCAAATTGACACAGCGAGCAGTAACGAAGGGATTACTTGAAATACAGCTCGAAGATACCCTGTAGCAGCCACATCACTGAACTACAAATCACTGCTATCTGCGACTTCGTTAGTGTCAAGGTGGAGCTCATTGGAGTGTAGATCTGTAGCGTTCTCGGATGTGAGCCATTTCTGTCTTGGTGCCAGTGTTGGCGATGTATTTGTTAGAAGGAGATTAAGTGAATACCTGGAACTAAGTTGCCTCTAGCGTAGACAAACGGAACTTACATGAGGAGTTATGGTTAGGGAAGAAGTTTCAAACAGTAGAAGCATTCTCGGCGTTATCTCTCACACCTTCAAAACGTTTGCATGTGAGACTGGTGACCTGAACTGGTTGCGACGTCATTCTTGAACAATACTTCAGCGATCATTTTCCAACGCGACACTGCTCGTTCCTACACAGTAGCTGTCAACCGACATATTGTACAAAGTGTCACGAAGTTGCCTTGGTGAGCGAGATCACCAGATCTTTCTCCCATTAAGCTCAAATGAATCATGGTTGGACGACAAATCCAAAGTCATCCACAAGCGGCAGAAGCGGTGCTGATTTGACTGACCAAGTGCAACCGGTGTTTACCTCCATCACACAAAAGCCTTACTGCACCTGTATGAGACAATGCATGCCTGTATTTAATATTGTGGTGACGGCAGCAATTGTTACATTTAACATTTGAAATGGATTTTTCGTGCATACTTTCCGTGCATACCTTTCATGCATCCTTTGATATGGCCACAAAAGGAGAAATATGCTCCTAAGAAATATTCATAGAGAATTCTTTGGCCAGCCTTAGGTTAGAACTTCAAGGGTTCTAACTCAGACATGAATCACCAGAAGTTAAAATTCGAACATCATTGCGAAAGAAGCAGCAGACGAGCTTTACACAAGCACACTATATGTACCACTTTCAAGCTCGGATCTGAAGACAATATTGAATGAAGAACTCGTCAGACAATGGTAACGTTTTTCGGACATTGAAACAACAGGAAAGTTGTGAATTAATTATTTTCCAGCTGGAAAATAATTAATTCACAACACTTCAAAACCTCAATATTTAACCAATCATGTTTGATTTATGAGCTGGTTGCACCAGTCTGACCTACTCGATAATTATCAAGCGCTTATGAAATTATCGGAGATCCGGATCACTATCGCTTTGGCTGCCCACATGCCGCCAAACATTATATCCGGAAACCTGCGGATACAAATGTAGCTGGATGGGCAGAAAAAACATTTAACAATACATTAGCTCTCAAGTGCATTGCAGAATGTGTAAATTTAAGTTCTGTTTCCAGGATTCTGAATTAAATTACGAAAGGTACCTATAATAACAGTGCTCTGACTATCCCGCGAAAGAATCAAAGGGAAAAATATATCGGGTGCGTCACAAATTCGTAATAAAAGAAGGAATGCACGGAAAATTTTTCTGTTTGCGCCAATATGGTCAGAAAGATATTGATTTTTTTCCATGTAAACAAAAAATGTTTCCAAAGTAACCGACAGAGGGCGCTGACACGTCATACTGAGATGTTTTATTCAAATCACGAAAACAGAAACAGAGAATTAAATAGATCACGATAACATGACACTATGGATTTATTTTATAGTAACAGATTTTCAACATTACCAACACCACAAAGTAATAGGCAAGTGAGGCGCGTCCCTATGCCCATTACAGCGGAGTGTAGCATGTCGCCATCAATGGCAGCGACGGTCAGTCGAATGGTATTTTTCAGCTCCACCAGTGTGGTTGGGGAGCGCCGGTACACACGAGACTTTAAGTATCCCCACAACCAAAAATCTGCCGTGGACAAGTCTGGTGATCTTGAGGGCCACTGAATCTTACACCCATGACCTATCACTCGGCCGTCGGTGAAAGATTCCAACAGGAACGTCGCGTGCAATGTGGGGCGGGACACCATCCTGCATGAAGGTGACAACAGATAACGCATGTCTTTCCTGAAATGCAGGCACAACGGGGTCACGCAAAAGCGTAAGATACTGTGCTGCAGTGACTGTGCAGGTTTACACGCCAGATACAGGAGATGGTTCTTCAAAAAAGAAAGGACCCAGAAAAAAAGAACCACATCAAACAGTCACATGAGGAGAATGCAATGGCTGGCTCTGGTACTCACGAGGGTTTGACGTCGCCTAAGTAAGACGTCGACTCGACGCTTCCGGAATCCCCGTTCTTCACTCAGCTTCACGAGCACTGCTACTCCCCGTTGATCATTCGGCTGTCATATTTTTCATAACACTTTGTACCACATGGACACGGTAAGCTCCCAAGGGTGTTCTGCCATTTCGTTGATTATCCTCCAAACTCCCCGTGTCCTCAAAACGTCATACAAAATTCCGTACCCCATTCAATGAAATATGGCTTTTTTTATGCCTTCAATCCTTTCTCCGTGCTAAACTTTTACAATGTAACAGTTGCGGATTTCACCATTCTTGTAGAACAATTTAACCACCAACGCCAGATCTGGTAAAGAAAGAATGCTGACAGCTTTGAATGACGGGGTTGTTTCCAGCAACGTGTTTTATTGATAGCCTGAATTGCATAAAAGATCTCAGTATGACGTGTGCGCGCCCTCGGTTACTTTTGGAAACATTTTTTTTTAACATAAAAAAACATCCAATCTCTTTCTGACCATATTGGCGCAACCAGAAAATTTTCCCGTGCATTCTTTCTTTTATTACGAATTTTTTAACTTTGCACGAATTTCTGACGCACCCGGTATTTAATCACCGGATCTCAGGAAATGAGAGTTTAAAATATAAATATAGGCAACATTAAAGGCATTTGGATTATGCTTATACGCGGGATTTCAAATAGAATGAAGATATTTACGACGTTATTTAAATGATTGAATTAAGGTAGGGTTGTCGGTGCAATAAAAAAGAACTATTCGTCATTTCAAGTTTATATTCAGATGTGTCGGATTTTTTTTCCTTATCATTTCGTACTCTTACTTTTTTTGAGTCAATTACTAGGTTATAGCTTGATATATAGAGTTATACAATTCATATTGCTAAACAGATTCAGCAAAACTCACGTCCAGCTTGTAAAATATGTTATTTGTGCTTTTTTGTCATTAGATCTACGTTATATTAATACCAATTATTTGAAACTGTGAAAAATGTTTTAGGGTAGCTTTCATATGAAATTTCATTTCAGTGAATTAAAGTTGTAAACAAAATAATGATTGGTATTTTAATCAAGAGAATAATCTACAAGCCATATCTCTAACAAAAGGGAAAAGTAAAGTATCAGAAGAAGGGCGTGTTTTTCAAGATAAATAGGAAGTTACTTTTGGGGATATTATGATCGAAAGGACACAACTTGACGTTGCCATTACTGAACGAATCACAAAGTAAAATTTGAAATGCTGGAAATTTGAAACGCAAAATATATCCTTCAATGGACAGCTTGATTACATATGTCATTTTAATAGAAAACATTTAAAAGTAGTAGACGATATTTTTCATTTAAAATAGTTCAAAGTAGCTGTTGCTAAAATGTTTCTTCCAAAACATTTGCTATGTATAACTGCGTGTAAATATTGTTGTAGTTGTTTTATGTGGTATCAGAAATTAATAAATGTAGTAAATCTAAATAGAAAATGTATGCTCTGATGCTGAAAATAATTGAAGGAAGTTTCTATGCCTGTGGGCACGGAAAAATTACTACATCAAGTTACAAAATGTTTTAAATCGTAATTATTACTAAAATACATTTATGAATATATTAATAAGCTGAAATAAAACTATTTTTAAAAATGAACTATGTATCTGAAGTCATGCAGTTTTTTCTTTTATTTCTCTTATTTTTAATATTTATGTGCCAACAATATTGGCATCATTACTTAATAGCCGAATCCTTTTATCAACTTAATGGAACTCAAATCCTTTAGAAATTATAATTTTTACCTTACGCTTACAAATGTGTTGAAAAAATATTGTGCTAGTTGAAAACATATGTTATCATAAAGACCAATATATAAACATTAATTCACTCATCAAAACTGAAGCTTCAACTTTTTATTTAAAGCAAAGATATTGATAATACATGTAAAATTGTACATAAATTTTTCAGGTAGTACGTAGGTCATACATCCATCAATAACGCATTAAAAAATAACAACCCTACACCAATAAGGTAATTTCTAAAATTTGGTTTGCGTACATGATGCTCCTACCAAATTTCGCAACTGTTTCGTCGAACCATTAATGAATCAGCTTTACAATTGAAATCTTTGGCAAACTGTGCTAAATTAGACATTGGTCCTATAACTCTGAAAAAGAAGACACGTTTTAAAAAACTTTGAGAAAATTAAAACTTTACTTCTTTAATATTTTTCAAATTATTCTAGTACTTTAAAACGATATATTTAAAGGAAATTCACAATAAATGTTTTATAAGATATTTCATACTTTTTATATAAAATACAAAGTCCTACAGTTTCGACTAAAATAACAACATTTAAAAATAAAAGTTTCTATTTCCGTTATTTAAAATAAAAGCTTTCATAACTGTCTTACCTAAATTTGGATGGACTATGCCTTTTATATGTTAGGATATGCTCCAAGGCTTTTGGACTTAGTTTTTCACACCATACCTGAAATATTATATTTATTTGGTTCACCATGCCATAAAAATAATTAGTTTTTAATGTAAAGAAGAGTAACACGATAAATGAATCTTGATTTCCTTGTACAAAGGAAAAATTGAAATTTCAAAATTTAAACATTAGTTGAGAAACAAAGAAAATTCTTCGGTAGTTTCATGGAAACTTTTGTTCGACTTCAAGACGTCTATCTTCTTCTTGAAGCAACTTTAGTTACTTCCACGGAATTTTTAATTAGGAAAAACGTAGTTAACAGTTGATTATCTGTAGTTGTTACGCAAAGTTCATTTATTAACTGCTCATATTCATTATGTGTTTGGAACTTATATGATTGATGCTGTACTCCTAATCTTACTATTTGTAGACCATCTCACCATTTGCAGCGAATTGACCGATTTAATCATTTGCTTGGATTTGATTTAGAAAGTTACTGGCAAATACATTGTTCTGTCACTGGGCAATTTTTTAGTTTTTTTTTTTTTTTTTTTTTTTTTTTTTTTTTTTTTTTTAAATCAAGAATTAAATTTCTCTCAATTAATATTAGTTGAAGACTTGGTTTTTAGTTCTTTTTTTTTCTATTTCATAACTTACTGAAAGGCTGGCCTGCTTAAAAATTATCTTTGCTGAGACTAGGTTTTAAGACATGTTCAGCAACTGCAGAGGATATTCAATCTGACTGCTTTGGTGGCCTTAAATCGAAATCAAACTGCATAGCTACAAAATCCCTTGCTTAATGGCCTCTATCGTTTGACAGTTTCAGCGCTCGTGTCTACCTTATTTGACAATTTCCTCTTTCATTTGACGACTTTAGTTCAATTTGAGATATTCAGTCTGCAATATTTTGTTAACATTAACCAACTTACTGATCCCAGTAGGAGATATATGTTCCATGTTTTTGCATATAAACGGAAAAGAATCCAATAGCAAAATTCGAATGATAACATTAAACGCAGTCAAATTAAATGGCGCCTTCGGTACTCGATGAGGCATCACAGTGATGAAACCTTTGAGGTAAAAATCTCTAGTGTGGTATAGGGTCTTAGCAGGCCTTGATAGCGACTGTGATGGAGGCAACTAAGTATGCCGTTTAAAAACAAACTTGATGAGACTTTACTGTATTAGAATATAATGTACATTCTCCTAAATTAAAAAAGTTTTTTAATAGCTATTAAAATAAAAGTAATTGACAGTCCAAAGTCTCATAATTGAGTACATTTCTAAATAGTGATATTTTAAAAATATTTTGGCTCGTAGGCAAAGAACAAAAGATATTTAGAAAGAAAGGGTTAGAAGTATTTATTTTTGTAATCAAATACACCATTTGTGGGTCTCTGCTTTAAATTTCACGTCTAAAAACAATTACCCACTGACGGCTGAGCGATAAAATTCTCTGAACACTGGTAGTTCGATCCGGGGTTTTAGGCCCAGGGATGGGGCTAACTGTATGAGAATTTTCGTGATTTGCTCCATGTGTAATGTGCCAGTTTACCTTAGAAAGACCTCCACGTGGCATCCCTCCCTTCTCGTGTAGTGCCTAATGGCGAAGCATATAATAATAAGACTAATAAAGAATTACAAAATGAGCTGCATAATACATGTAAAGTTCACATCCGTCTCAATTTATTGTTTCGTCTGATTTTTCAAATACAATAAATTCAGACTCAGATGGAAGTTTAAATACCAACATTTGTATAGTGTGCTTGCTTTCAAACTGACACTATTAAAAGCCATCTATAGCTTGATCTATCAAATGAAATACCACCAAATATGGTACAGAGATTAATGACAATATAGAAAAGATGATTCCGTGAAAACAAAATTAGCTCCGAAAGTTGCCGATAGGCGAAAATACGGCGTTTTCCTAGTTTGCACTGCTGAGAATTAGACAATTCAATAACGGAGAAGAAATTTCGATGCAACACCGCTTTAATGCAGCAAATAAACTGTCCCAAAGAGTTTTACAGACGATGTTTCAGTTCATCATAGCACTTTATTCAATAAAAGCGCTTCCTCGGGGAAGACATAAATTTTCCACAACAATGTGACCACCTTCTCGTAGATCACACACTGCATTCTGTACACAACATCATCGACGGGAGAACGTAACATCTCACCAAGACTGCTCAAAACAGCAGTGATATATCTTTTGTTACGATCGTGGTGATCAGGACCCTGCCAAGGTAAAACTTGAACTTCAAACAACCCCAGAGGAAAAACTCACAAAGGGGTTAGATCTGGAGCACGAAATGGCGGTATAAGTGGAAAAACGTGACTTAGATCATTTCTTCTGCAAAGTGATGGTGGAACAGCCCACTAAAGCGATAGATTATTGTACAGTGGTGCTCCATTCTGACTAAACCTTACCTAACACAGCAACTTTCTCTGCTGAAACTGTACAATAAAAAACCTAGTTAACATATCATGATATCTGCGTGATAACAGCACAGATGTGCCGTCCTGTTAGAGTAATGTTCTCAAAAAAGAAGGGTCCACTCACGAAATCTGCTACGAAGGCAACCAAACAGTGAAGTTTGGTAAATGCTGTGGGATTTTTGGAACTGCATGGAATTATTCAGAAGCCCAAATTCGAGAACTGCTAGTGTCAACAGCTCCGTTTAGGTAAAAATGGGACTCATCTTTCTACAATTCTTTCATTCAAGCGTCACAGAACTCCATTCTGCGAATAATTGACAGAGCAAATGCCACCCGTTAATCATAATCGTGGTGTTTTAATTCCTTCACATGGTTTATCTTGTATGAGTAGAAGAACTTCCTGAGCGGTTTGCCATAATACCGTTGAAAGAATCAAACAAATTTCGCACTATTCCTCGAACATTGCGAATACCAGCAATAGCCCCCAATAACAAATAAACAAATGATTCTCCCCCTAGCCAAATCCATCCATAAAGGGTTCTGAATAAATCCAAGGAATTAAGTTAGATCAGAGAGCTTCCTCCGTTGAGCACCGCTAAGAGGTCGACAATCGGACAATAGCCATTAATGTTTAGATCGAATGCTCGAAGTCTAGGAATCCAGCATGTGTCCCATTATACAGAAAAGCAATACAGATGATTTCTACAAACAAAATAATAAATACAGTGTGTATTTTCTATGTTAAACTAAGAAAAAGAAATTTTTTGTCAAATGTTTAGATAGAACAAATCGAAGTGATAAAAATTTAGTTCGAATTAATGAGATATTTTTAGCAATAATTTCTATACAAGTTTTTGGAAGGGGGGCTTTGGATTAGTTCGAATTAACCTACGGTTCGAATTAACGAGCGTCCATTGCATAATAACAATAATGCACCAGTTTAAATTACAGCGAAACTGCCACTCGTTTGAATGCCTCTTCGATTAATTTTAAATCAAAACTTGCTTAATGCAGTTAGATAATTTGCAGGAATGATCTTTTTAGTTTTTGCAAAAACATGCAAAATAAAATACTCACGTTTGCTGCACTTATCCAGAATAACTGATTCGGTGTATAGACTAGCCCCGGCAGCTTAGGCTCTTTTCCATTATCCTTTATCCACGACTGATAAGCCTGTAATTATGTAATCAATTAAAATAATAATTTCAAGCAAAATATTAAATACAAAAATTACACGGTTCAGTTTTAGTAAAGCTTTAAAATGTTATATTCACGAAGTATCTCATTTATTCTACAACAAATTACATCTTCAGCGAAATGTGAAGAAAAAGATAATTATCAAGAGTTTGCACTTTTTTTTAACGTAATAATTATTAATTTACTGCTGTTCACTAAGCAATTCCTTTAAATTTTACTCGTCGGTTTACAGACGAGTGAAATTTAAAGGAATTGCTTAGATTAAAAATTAAAAGAATTATAATTAAAATTAAGGAATTAAATTTAAAGGAATTACATAATTTTCTGTAACTTCCTTTTTAATTTCCTGTAAATTCTTTTCTTTTTAACTGATGCACTTGAATTTGTTTCAGTTTTTTGATTCTGTATTATTTGATGTATTATTATTAGTAGTAGTAGGCCGCAGCTCACTCATTCTTTCACCATTTTATAATACTTTTTCAGAACTCATTGTTTCACCTTTTTTAACGACTTTTACTCTTAGTTGTCTTTATTGAAAATGGGAAACAAAGTTTCTTTCAGATGTTCATTTTAGAGATTTAAAATTTCTGGAGCAGTGATTGAAAAATGGTGAAAATCAGGAAAGAGAAATCTGGAATCAGGTGGTGAGAAAAACGTTAGGTAAGAATGGAATGAATTGCTTATAAACAAAACAAACAAAGTAAAGGTGCATTAAGGGTTATTTGCCTTAGGCTGCAACTCAGATTTGACTAGAGGCCCCGAGAGAAAGAATCGATGTTTCACAGTCCTCTGTTCCTACCATTAGCCTTTCTACCAGAAGTTTAGAACTTACAGAGGTTACAGTTACAAACCTTGCTGATTTAATCACGACGCAAACTGTTGACCTTGAGACCATCAATGCTATGTTAAAAAGAATCATTTTAATTTGACATTTGTTGTATTTAACTTTTTACAATAGAATTCTCAAAAGCACGTCAGTTTGAACTTTGCTTAAAGTTCAAAATTAAATTCGTTGTGATTTTTTATTATGAAGACATTCCAAAATCGCACTTAATATAGGTTTCTTTTATTAGTCCAAAGGAGCTTTGTCCCTGAGGGACTATTATTTTCGTTTTGAGATTTTGCGTCGAATCACTCTAAATGTCCATTTCACTTTTCAAACTGTTGCCACCGAATATTATCGACCTGTATTATATTTGAAGAAATTAAATAATGAAGAATCTGCATAAATGTAGGTATGTTTCTCGCATTGTGATAAAACGATGGTACCTAGAGCCATCCAGGTTGAAAGACGTAATCCTACTGTGAATATGGGAAGCCCAAATTTGAAATTTGGAATTTGTTTTATTATCGCTTTCATATTTTGTAAAACTTTAACGAATTTTTGATTAACAGCCTCGAGAATTTCATAGCGAGCAGTGGCAACGTTGTACAGAAAAAGCATTTTTATCTCCAGCGCTTGAGACTGTATGTCGGAAATTCTAAAGATACACTCAATTTAAAATTATTTTGAGATATTGCTTTTGAATTGAATTTTATGGTTTGAGAGCGAAGAACATGATATTTAATGAATAAAAAAAAACACACACACAAAATATTAGGAAACGTCCCTTAAAATTTGAACCTTTCAGATTTTCTTTTTTTTTTCTTTTCTTTTTTTTTCCCTATTTGTATTTTCTTTTCTTTTAATTTATATAAATATTCTATTTCTTTCTTGCAAATATTCCGTCCCTCTTTCCTCGAAAATAGCAACGATTTAAGTGTTCTTGTGTTCTTAATGTGAATCTGCAAGGATATTAAATCTATTTCCCAAGTTTCGTAATTTAATTCTTTGGAAAAGCACTGCTAATTTTTCGAGGATTACATTCTGAAACAATTTCCTTAATCGCAAGCTCATTTCAAGTTGCGCTGAATTTTGCCCTATATTCTGTCGAATTTTGTATCTGAAAAAGAAAATATGAATAACAACTCCTTCACACCTTCATACATAGTTATTATACAATACTACTGGTAGGAGCGTATCCTACTGTAACTCGTTCGAATGCTTTAAGAACTTCAACCTGAGAATCAACCTCACAAATCTGCATTCGCCAAAGTAATAAGATTGCCAGGATTTCAAAATTGAAGTCATAAAAGTACATTCGCTGAATATCTTCAATTATTTTGCTATATTTTCCAGGACAAGGTGTTCAGTTCATATTTTGATGGAAAATGAATTTTGGTGAACAAACTCGGCGATTTAAATGTAAAAACACAGTTCTTAATATAATGTTTATTATTTTAATCTGACTTATTTACATTGCTAGCCATTATAATTGCAACCCCAGGTTGAAATGATCTGATGAAAGTCAAAATTAAATGAAAGGAAGAAGAGGTTAGGATAAGCAAATGATTAGCATTTCAGCACATTTAGACGAAGCAGGAGGGAGAAATTACATCTGAACAGCTGCATAATAGAAAAGTTCTGTAGGAGATTTCTCATTTGTGCAACTGTTTGTAAAGTCGGAGTCTGCTCATAATATCATGTTAGGCCTCGAATAAGAAGAAATACTTACCAACAAGTGTGTGAATTCGATACAGGCAGGAAAGTGTGGATAATCGTTCCGTGATATCGCGACATCCGACTATTCGTTATGCGAATATTGAATCTATCGTTTGCTGACCATACGTTGCCTATTCTGATTTACTAATAAAAGGGAATAACATTTTCTGTTTGTTAGGGTGTTAAATGAGATATCGTACGCAAACGCGAAGAAATCTATTTGGGGGAGTTATCAAACTGCTGGGCGCAGACACAGCAAAATGTTAAATTTTATTTATACATTTTTCATTCTACTTTCGAGTAAAGACATTTGTTTGTGTTACCAGTTTTACTTTTTTGTGACCAACCTATATTTTAACAGAATTATTTCCTACAATATAATAAATATTAATTATTTAACTTTCGTAAGAACTTAGATTTTGTTTCGTTTTCTTCCTTAATATTGATGCAGTATGCTTACCTGATAGGCGGCTTTAAGACCGGTAACGTCAGCTATATTTTTCTCCTTTGTTTTTAGGCCATTCACCTGCGAAAAGTAAAATAATTTAATGCATAATTCAAACGTGCTGTCAGTTATAATATTAACTACAGCAGTTATTCAATCTATCTTTTTCCTTCCTGTATGCTCTTTCTTTCTAAAACATACTCACTCTAAATGTCGTGCATACTATGGAATATTTTTTAACAGTGTCTGGTTAAATTCTTGTTTGCGTTTATCAAATAAAAAAAAATCTGATGTGTACACCACATGACTTCCTTGTATGGAATATTAAATCATAAGCAATTTTCCCACATTTCATTTAAACATACTGAATTAACCGTTAACGAATTTTGAATTAAATCTACTTCGTCGATAGTGCTTAGACTACATTAGAATAAATGCATTCTTTTAAAGTTCATTATATTTATTTACCATAGCGACAAAAGTGTTCACTTAGCAGCATTAACATTCATTTTAAAACTCAGAGTGCACAAAAATTATATCATCTGAAGAATTACCATAAGTTCTATTCAAATACTAAACTAAATCTAAACCGATATGTAAAAGAAATTATACAAATAATAATAAAAAAAAAGAACTTTTTCGCAGACTATTCAGCGCCGCTTAGCTAATGCGCATGCGCTACTAATTAATTCAGTTCTCACTTCGCGGCAAAGCAAAAGTACATAAAATTCAAAATATTTTCATTAAATTTTACAGCTATAGAAAAACATAAAACACCAAATACAGTTGAAACAACTAAAAAAACAATTTTTACAATTAAAGTTACGGTTTCTCTGTAAAAATAAGATAATAACTTAAATGTTAATTCCATAATGAATTAAGCGTAGTTTAATTCGCAATAATAAAAGAAGATATTACTTTGTTTTTGGGAAGCTTAGTTTCTCTAGATTGGCAACAAATTCACTATTCTGATAAGTTTCAAAAGTAAACAAACATGGACAGCATACTAATCAGAAATTAGGCTTAGCCGCAATTAAAAAAACTTTTAAATCGTAGATAATTCCACAATTATTGCATGTAGGTTAAGGCATAAAAACCGTAACCGGAAGATAAGAACAACATAATTGAATCATTTTTAATGCAAAAAGTGCACAATTTACAAATATGTAAGAATAAAGTAACTGAGATTACTGAGCCGAGTAACAGAATGGATATAAATATACACATATTTATATACTTTTGGTACGGCCGATTGCAACCAAAATACGAGGTGCACATCTGCATGTTATAGCAGTCCTATATACAAAATTTCAACGTTCTGAGGTTACTCGTTTTTGAGTTATACGAGATACTTACTTACGTACGTACGCATAGACGCCACGAAAAATTCTCTTCAGAATTTATTTTAAATCAGTTTTATAATTTTTTGGCGGGGAGAAGAGTCCTTACGTACAGATGTCACGCAAAAAGATCCTTAAATTGCATTCGATAGGGATTAAAATGGGTATTTTCGTTGAAATATGATGGCTGAAACCTTTCGCGATAACAATACTTCCTTTTTACTTCGTACAAGGAAGTAAAAATGGGTTCACACAAGTTATGTATATTGTTAGATATTTGTAGCAGAGGCTGCAGAATTTCCAACGAATGTTTAATCCATGTGAGAAAATTAAAGTATATTTTCTCACATGCTGTCTAATTCAGTGTTGAGCAACTTTGGTTCCCTATCTAGCGGCTCGTTAAAGCTGACCCTCGAGAGCTCTTCGACATGGACTTAGGATTCGTGCAATTACAGAAGAGATATTAGCTATTGTTTAAAATCATTTTTTTTTCTATCGACAAGACTTAACAATTTTATTTCAGTATTATTAACTGATATCTGACTAATCGATATCAGTTAACTGATATCTGACGAATCTGACTAATCGTAATTCAGAATCTAAACCTTCTAAACCCAGTGAGTCATCCATATGTCATCGTATATTCTAAACCCATATGCCATCCGCCTAATCTGCTGTGATGATAATTCATGAGCTCTAATTTCTGTGCCGCCCAAGTTAATTTAGAGAGATGTGATACTTTGACGTTGAAGCTAATCGTTTTCCTTGGTGAGACAACCATCTTCTTTTCCACGGGAATTCTCGCAAATATTTTATGCGAACACCTGGCAAGAACTAAACTTGAAACATTCGCCATAAAGTAACAAATACTATCGCTAGACAGAAGAGACTATTTTGTTATAAGAATAGATTTTAGAACTGTTTTTCAGGCCTTGCGTACCAAGTCAGACTAAGCTGTATGTGGTTGCTTATTTTACCTGAAGATCTAACGACCTGAGCACAAGAGTCCACACGCTCTATGTTAACAGTCGTTCATAGGAAATGCTTATTTCGTGGTAATTCTACGAGTTTTATTAAAAGTGTTCAGAAAAAATAATAAAACTTTTTGATATTACGATTTTTGTTATTATGACAATACATAATGAATACTTATCGCATAGCCTGTGGAGATCGGGAAATGTTTTGAAAATATTTACTCCTAGAGATGGATTAAGTTGCATTTGTGAAGAAAAGATGGAAAAAGGCATAATAAAGAGACATTAACAATTGTTAATTAAGTTGGCCTGATTTATGTGATTTTGGCAAAGCACTGGATGGCTGTCTGCCTAAGGAAAGGGATGTATTCGTGGAGGACGTTCTAAGGGAAACTGTCTCATGTACGAGTTACATATGGAGAAACCACGAAAACATCCATGAACCCAACCCGTTTGCAGGATTCGAACCTCCGACTGAACTGCCAGTGTTCATCGGGACCCAGCAGCGGCCGAGCGGTAAACACATTGAACACTGGTAGTGCAGCCCGAGGTTCGAATCCCGCGAAAGAGCTGGTTGCATGGGCGTTTTCGTGTTTTTCTCCATGTGTTACGTGTATACCAACCAGTTTCTCTTAGAATGTTCTCCACAAAGGCATCCCTTCCCTTAGGCAGATAGCCCTCGAGACTTTGCCGTAATCACATAAACGAAACTACATTCCTGATATGCAAAAGATATTATTATACATTGCAACATTTCTGATATGATAGTCATCTAGCGGTGCATCAAGCACTTTGCGCCAAGTGAATATCTGAGCAAATTTCTGCAATACAGTGAATGAACAAAACTTATTTGTTATGACTTCGAAGTATCGTTTAGAATAATCTGTGAAGTGGCAAAACGTCTGTCGTTCGAAAGCAAGTCAGCCAATCATGGAAGAAGTGTCCAAATATTTAAAGACAGTCTCTATAGAAACAATTTCAGAATAGCGGAACTGCTATATTGTGGCCTGGACAAGATAGTACACGAACAGCAATTGCTTCTGAAGAACGATATCTGGCAGTAACTGCTCGTCGTAACATCAAGTATGTTGCTTGGAAGTTAAATTTCCACTGAATCTATTGTATTTTGGCAAACTATATACAAAGGATTCAAGGAAAAAAGGCCATTATACCAGAATATCAAGGGTATGTGGTCCACTGTCTTCATAACAAAAGAAAGATCGCAAAAGAGAGATTAATTGGTAAATAGCATTAGAACTGATTTGAATACCAATGGTAACATGTTCTCTTTATTGAGGAATCGAGGGTTTATTTAACAGCTGATTTTAAATGTGTTACATCTGGAAGGTTCCTTCTAACAACATGGAACTTCACCATTTCGACAGTGCAGATATGAATGCCATGGGGAGCGGAAATGATCGGTGGACGTAGCCCTTACACGTTTTCAAGCGGAAGCGTGTAAGCGGATCTGTGGTCGTCCAGAGATATAGGAATGAGGTCTTACGACCTTATTGAAGTCTTTGCAGAGCTGTCTATGGATCAAACTTTATTTATGGAGAATAATGCTCGTTCACATTGAACAAACCTTCTTGACTAATTTCTTCAAAGAGAAGGAATTGAATGAATAACCTAGTCGCATTTTTCTCTTAGAGATGTAAATGTCTTGAAGATCGCATTGCTGGAGGACAAGAACTTTATTCCCAAGCTGGGGTTATTGATGTTATTGCTAGCACGATAACACGTTGTGATATATGCGTACAAGTCAGGAGAAATCAAGTATCATATTAATTACATAAGCCTTAAATATTTTCTGAGTCATCGTTATTTTTCTCCTTGAAGCATATTATCATCCTAGGAATAAAATAATAAAAATGATAATATGCAGCAGATTAATGGTAGTATAGTTATATCTAGGAAATTCATACGCAGCGCTCTTAAATTTTTTCCTTTGCATTTATGTATTATGATTTTATGCATCGTTCGACAGAAATTCATAAAATTATAATTCACAGTTTCTGAGAAATCTATGATTTCATGCATGTAAATGTAATTTTGGATATGAGTTTAGTACATTAAATACAAAACGTTTCATGCTTTTTACATGCAGAATTCGCAAACCTGCACATGCACACATTTCGATGGATGAATTCGGTCTTCTTTTATATCACAACTAATTTTTTCATTATAAGCTTAAAATTATCTACTATTTTAACGTACCTCCAATAAAGATTTTCTGTCTTATAACTGAAACCTTTTATACGCGTTACTTGCTTTATGATAGTTTCTTGAATGTGTGCAGAGAGATATAACGCAATTTAAACGATTATAATCACATAATTTTTAAAGTACTTCGAGTAAAGAGATATTATGATACAGAAAGACACAGAACTAGTATATCTCACCTGCATTCCATTTTCAACGATGTAATTATCATATTGATCTACAATGCACTGCGTCTTATTTTTGTAAACTGCATTTGCACTTTTGCCGAACCAGTGCTTTCGAATACCATTTTTATTAAAACTCTGACCTGTAATGTTATCGATGGTATTAAAAGTGGTGCATAATTCGATAGAATAATATTTTACATTTTATTGATTAATTATCCTGAGCACAGGTTCCAGTCCTGAGCCAGATCATTAAATTTTCATAATAATGCAATACTTATTATAGTTATATAAAATAATAACGAATGAATATAATAATTAAATTTATTTTAAATTGTATTTCTAAAAGGATGTGGTTCTTTCCTTTAAAGTGTAAAAATAGATAACTCCTATAAAATAGAAGTCACGGACTTCTATTTTATAGGAGTAAATAAAATTAAACGTATTAAGCTGATTTTTAAAACCCACTCCAATCTAAAATAAATAAAATTTTGAATTAATTTACGCTCAATTTGGAGCGCTTGATTTTTTTTATTTTCTGCATATTGCCTCCAGCATACTGCAGAAAAATAAAAAGTACTCTTAAATACCTTAAAATAATAAGAATGAAGGAAAAAAAAAGAATGAGTTAGGTATGCATGCACGAAATAATTTTCGCTCCCTTTATTTGTTTGTATGGGATCTAGCTTGTCAGGAGACGTATGTCTCTTCACTTGCTTCGAGAACATACTGTATCCTGAATAAGAACTGAAAACTTACTAAAGTTCTGTTCCAGGTTGTGTGGAATAGACGACACAAGCAGGAAGTGTATACTAAACCCTTTATTCTCTATTACTTTACACGTACTCCCATACTTCGGGATACAGAGACCAACCACTTGCGGTCTGAACGTAAAAATATAAAACTACTAACTAAAACTCTAACTAAAAGCTAACTTTGAATTAGTATACAAATGCCTGGCACTAAGACCCGGCCTTTATTTAAAAGGGTCCGTATGTAGTACGCCGAGCTGCTGAAACTACAATACTTTTACAAATATCAAGAGGGCTAAATCTCTGGCCTTAAAGGCAACCAGCAACCGAGTGAAAAATCGTAAAACTGCAGTGGCAAGCGGCTTGCTTCATAAAAACTCCTTCTGTCTCTCTCTTGGCAAAAAGCCACAACATAAATACTTGGGCGTTAGCAAGACAATTTGGATAAACAAGTTAAAGCATTTAATTCTGGCCGGAAGTAGAAAATAAGAAGCGATTGTACAGTTTTAAAATAAAATAAACGTTAGTAAAACTTAGGATCCTTACAAGCTGAAAAGGGATTTCTCAATATGGCTTCCATAACGCTTTAGGAAAAAAGAATAAATAAACTTTTTCTGAAACATTATGCGCACACACACTGGAGTCAAAAATTAAGATTACAACACAAAATATATATTCTCTCGAAAATCAATTGGTTTATAGAAATGAAATTTTGTAAACAGATGCCAAGTATTATGAGATAGCCATATGAGTAATATATGCAGTAGAAAAATAAGCAAAAAATAGATATTCTGCAATATTCAAAAGAGAGTAAAATTTAGATAAAACGTGCCATCTCATATTTTTAAAGTGCTCCGACTGACAAATATTGTCTCTACTCTTTACAGTTTTATTAGCTTAACAATGAGAAAATGAGGTTCTTGATCAAACCAACAAACCAACAAAACCACTCTTCCGAATGCGGCGATTTTAATGGCTAGCATCTTGAAAGGGTGTTGACATCATAAGTGGCTTTTCTTAGAGGATCTCATATATTCTTAGCAGAACAGCCTCTCGTTATCATTCGTAAAATGTCCAACCATTCTCCGGGAAAGCTTCACATAAGGTTTAAGAACCACATCGAGATAAATCTGTGCATAGACAGTACCCCCCGCATAGCTTACTTCATTCCTTCCCAAACAAAGATCCAGTTTTTCCCAAAGTGACCAATTTTCTTTATGTTTCAGGACAACAGTGAACCTCAAGCTTTCTTCAGATGAAGAATCGTTGAGAAACACTGTGTGTACTGTATCTCGACCCATGACTAAAAAGGGCATGCCTGAAATCTGAGTGGGTACCAGAATGACATACTTGGCTCAACAGCCATGCTCTCGTTTGCGATGTATTGCAACTATTCTAGTTGCCAATCGTAAAGACCTGCTCTTATAGGAGTCTGTATATTATTTTCAAGGAATTACATTTCTAAACACAGCAACAACGTCCTGAAAGCTTCATCTCTCTACAGCATCGTGCATTGAATGTCATGTATTCATTCCCTCTAGGTATCATGGTTCTTGCATGAGCTTCTCTAGGCCTTCTGGTGATGGTGCGTGTAGTTTAGAATTGGTGGTAAACTTGATAACCACGCTTCGAGCTGCTTCTAATTATCGAGCGATTTTCGCTTGTATCTGTCCAACTCCAACCGTACATATGGCTCTTTATCTTAGTCCATAAAATTATGTTTGCCAGAACTCCTTTTAACAAAAATACGACATTTTTGCCATTTTGCATACATGACACTCAATTTTTATAGACAAATTACACGTATTCGTAAACTAGATGCCTGTATTACATTTACTGTTCTGAAGAACACAAGGATGTTCTGAAGAATACGAGGAATATATGACATATTTTAAACCACTAATCATAGCTATTTTTGAATTATTATAAAACTGCGTTTGTAACTTTAATTTTGGACACAAGTGCATATCAGATATTATGTACAAATGCTGCATGCTGTCCCATCAAGAAGGCGTTATCTCTTGGAAATACATAAGTCTGACAATCATTTCATGTATCTGCCCTCAGGGGGCTCACTTTTGTGAGTACGGGTGTGGCAATCCCGAGGTACCCTAGCCCTTCAGGGGATCATCTTCTTGGTGAGACGGGTGTCACGATCCTAGAGCCCCAGTGATCTATCCTCTTTTCCGTCTCCTCTCCTCTTGGCTGGAACTTTTTCCCTTCCCTTCTCCCTTGTGGTTTCTCTCTACGGAGTTTGGGGCTCGTCACGAGAGGCTGGAACAGACCTTGTCTTCTAGTTTTCGAGTGGCGACAAAACTGCCCACGTGTTTGCCGTGCGTGGAGACCCGTGTCGCTGGAAAGGAGGGTCCTGGTAGTTGAGGGGCGAGGTACTGTCCCCAACACACTGCTTTGGCCTCTGCTTCAGTTAAACGCGAGGCACCTTAGTCTTCCTCACGGGTGTCAATCGGCTGGTCACTAGTCCTTGTGTCAGTGGCTTGGGGTCAAGCTTTCGGGAGTACCTGCTTTCGGGAAAGCCGACTGTGGGGCTTCAGTTTGCGTATAGGTCCGGCTAGCCCTAACACAGGAATCTGTGTTCCCTTGTTGGGCTCCGTGGTGGGCGGGGCCGTCGGACCCGAATCTTTTCTATTTTTTCATGGCAATTCTCATATTTTTTTATTAAAAATTTCGAGGTAACTCCAGTCTCTCAACCTAGTTCTGAAACATCTACTCTAAACCAATCACTCAACCTAGTTCTGAAACTCTCTACTACTAAACCAGTCACTCAACCTAGTTCTGAAACATCTACTAATAAACCAATCATTCAACCTAGTTCTGAAACGTCTACTACTAAACCAGTCACTCAACCTGTCGCTCAACCTAGTTCTGAAAATTCTGCAAAAAAAATTACGGACAGATGCAAATAAAAAAATCATAACAATAGTCCCCGTTTCCTAGTCATCTCTAGTCCTTCTGGCGAAATGCATAAGATGTCTCCTTTCGTAATAAACAAATACATCCAGTCTTGTATTGGTGAGCCGAGAAACATAAAGCGTCTCCGCTCCGGAGACTTGCTTATTGATACAAACTCAGCCACCCAGTCTGCTTCTTTCTTTACTTCAGATAACTAAACTTGGGCAAGCGAATGTCACTGTAACACCACATAAGTCACTGAACTATTGTCGTGGTGTAATCTCAGAATTCGACCTTCTGTATGTTTCTGAAGAAGAGATCGCTTCTGAGCTATCCGAACAAAATGTCTGCGGTGTAAGGCGGATCAAGATGCGTAAAGAAGGTAAGTTGATAGACACGAAACACGTGATCCTTACCTTCAACACGCCTGATCTGCCTAAGAATATTAAGGCCGGATATCTAAATATTCCTGTAAGACCTTATATTCCAAACCCTATGCGATGTTTCCAATGCCAGCGTTTCGGCCATTCTAAGACGTCTTGTCGTGGCAGCCTCACATGCGCCCGATGCTCACAGATTGGCCACGATTCTGATAAATTGTACCGCTGCGCCTTTGTATAAATTGCAAGGGTGAGCACCCAGCATTTTCACGCCTCTGCCCAAAATGGAAATCGGAAAAAGAAGTCCAGACTGCAAAGTTTACTAGGAACATCTCTTATGCCGAAGCCAGAAGACTAGTCCAGAGCACACAGCTTCGACCAAATACATCATACGCCAGTGCTGTTAAAATCATCTCGTACAGTTGCCACCCAAACATCAATAGGCACACAGACCCTACCAAATAAAACCCAACCGTCTACATCCAACAAGAAAAAGAAAATGCAACTCCATATAGTACAAAAGAAAGAAACAGTTATTCAAAGTAAGCCCAAAACTGCCACACAAAAATATCAATAAAAATAGAAGTCGCAGCAATAGCTCTCTTGATGAGATGATTTCTGAATCTGCGGATTCAGACTTTATGGAAGTAGAAGAGGGTCTAGAAGTTCCCAGGCATCTACTTCCACGAAAAACAAAAGAACAGCACAGGAAAAACAAAAACCATTCATAATGGCCACCCTCGTGTCATGGAACTGTCGCGGTTTCCACCGAAATTTGCTTGACATCAAATCTATAATAAATGTGTACCATCCTGTGTGCTTAGCAATACAGGAAACAAATCTGAAACCAGAACACCATGCAAAACTTCGGAGGTTTTCTTTCGTCAGGAAGGATAACATTGCAGGTGAGCGTGCCAGTGGAGGTGTAGGTCTCCTCTCCTCACTGGATTATCCCTCAAATGTACTTCCTTTGACGACATCCCTCCAAGTTGTCGCTACTCAAATAAATTTTGATATTGTTGTTTCATTTGTTTCTTTGTATTTGCCTCCAAATGAGCACATTTATCAGCAAGATTTAAATAATCTAATAGAGCAGCTGCCTGAGCCTTTTATCATAATAGGAGATTTTAACGGCCATAGTCCACTCTGGGGAAGTAAAGATACAAATTGCCGAGGAAGACAAATTGAGCAGATGATCGAAGATCATAGCCTTTGTCTCCTAAATAATGGGCAAGATACGTACTTCCATGAGCCTTCAAGGACATTCCACGCTCTCGATCTTGCCATCTGTTCACCATCTCTGTTGCCATTTTGCACTTTTAGTGTCGGAAATGACCTGTACAACAGCGATCATTATCCTATTTTTGTGTCTCTTGCACGAAGAGGAGCAAACCCCGTGTCGAGAGTCCCTCGTTTTATCCTGGACAGGGCAGACTGGGAACTCTTCTCTTCCGTTGCAGAGCTCACAGAGGAAATGGTAGAAGATGTGCATATCGATGACGCTGTTGAAGCTGTTACTAATACTATTATTCAGGCAGCTATGCTTTCGATTCCTAGAACATCAGGAAAAACACTAAAATATTCGAAACCGTGGTGGAATCGCGACTGTCATGAAGCACTGAAAAAAACAGAAAAAAAGCATGGGGTATTTTTCGTAGATATCCTACTCTGCGAAACCTCATAGCCTTTTAAAAGAGCCAAAGCAAATGCACGGAAAGTAAGAAGGCAGAGCCAGAGGGATTCCTGGATTTCATATGTGTCCTCAATAACATCCTCTACGCCTAGTAAGCGGGTTTGGGAAAGAGTTCGAAAAGCATGCGGAATGTATAAAGAGACCACTCACTTTCCTTTCTGGAAAAAGATGGCCGAGTGATTAGCTCCATAGAAGAAATTGCAAATACAATTGGTGAGACATTTGCTGCCGTTTCTTCCAGCCGAAATTACTCACCTGCATTTCTTTCTATCAAGCAACGCTCTGAGAAAAATCCCATCGCTTTCAACTCTTCCAACTTTGAGCCGTACAATAGAGACTTTACTATGGTTGAATTAAAGAGAGCTTTGTTGCAGACACATAGGTCTTGTCCGGGTCTGGATGGCGTGTATTATGAAATGCTAAAGCATCTGTCCTATAAGTCACTGAGTGCCCTTCTCACACTTTACAATAGAGTGTGGAAGGAGCGTACATTTCCCAGTGCATGGAGGAGAGCTGTTGTCATTCCTATTGCGAAGCCAGGGAAAGACCCGAGGAATCCCTCGAACTATCGGCCAATTGCCCTTACCAGCTGTGTTTGCAAACTGTTTGAAAAGATGGTAAACAGCCGCCTAGTCTACTTCTTGGAAAAGAATAATATTAGCCTTATCAGAGCGGTTTTCGAAAGGGGAGAACAACCGTAGATAATATGCTCCTCTTAGAGACATCTATTCGAAAAGCCTTTGTAAGAAGAAGTCACCTTGTCTCAATATTCTTCGACATTGAGAAAGCTTATGATAAGGCATGGAGATACGGTATACTCCGGGATCTTCACGAGAGTGGCTTGCGCGGCAACCTACCAATTTTCATTCAGAATTTCTTGAACGCTAGAACTTTTCAAGTAAGGATTGGCTCTGTTTTTTCGGATGTTTTTCAACAGGAAGAGGGTGTGCCTCAAGGCTGTGTGCTTAGTGTAACGCCTGTTCAGTTTAAAAATAAATTCTGTATTAAAACAACTTCCTCATACCATCTTGGGATTACTATATGTAGTATATGTAGATGATTTACAGATTAGCTGTCGAGGAGCAGACATGAGATACATAGAGAGGCAATTGCAGATGGCTCTGAATAAGATCCAAGAATGGTCAGACAAACAGGGATTTACTTTTTCGAAACAGAAAACTGTGTGCGTGCACTTTTGTAGGAAGCGAGGTCTCCATCCTGAACCTGAGTTATATCTAAATGGTACAATTATTCCAGTTGCGCCCGAAGTAAAATTTTTAGGAGTGACGTTCGACCGAAAATTGACTTTCCTTTCTCATGTTTTAAACCTGAGAAAGAAGTGTCTAAAAACACTAAATATTTTAAAAGTGTTGGCGAACACCTCCTGGGGTGCAGAGCGTTGCTCCATGCTTCGCATTTACAGAGCGCTTATCCGCTCTAGACTGGACTATGGCTCAGTTGTTTATGGATCCGCTCGGTCATCTGTTTTGTTAAAACTGGATCCTGTTCACCATCAAGGTCTGCGGATTTGTTCAGGAGCTTTCAGGACTTCTCCTGTGCAGAGCCTGTATGTTGACTGTAACGAACCATCACTTTATCTGAGGCGTGAGCAATTGTCCCTTTTGCAATATTTTAATATCTATCCCAACCTGAACATCCCAATAAGCTGTGCTTACTTGATAATGAGTGTAACACTTTATTTGAAACACGTCCATCCTGTGTTCCTACTTTCCTTTAAGAGAGTTCGCCCTGTCATTGAGGAACTTTCCCTCTCTGATATGCACCCCCAAGCAGTACAGAATTTTGAAATCCCACCTTGGGAAAATTCACGGATTCAGCTTCTTGATGTTTTTAAACATCACGTGAAGGCAAGCACTAACGAGATCGTTTACAGACAACTCTTTCGCTGAGCACAGGCACAAATATAGCAGTTATTATCCGATATACACAGATGGATCAAAGTCAAATGATCATGTCGGGATGGCTTTTGTATTTGAAAATTACATAGAGGGCAGATGCCTGCACCATGCTTTCTCTGTCCTAACATCTGAACTAACTGCAATATATTATGCTCTTTTGTACATCTCAAAGCTCTGCCACAAAAAGTTCATAGTTTTTACACACAGACTCGTATAGTGCTCTTAAATCCTTGGAAGCTTTTCCCAACACTCAGAATCCTGTGGTAGTGGATGTTCTCAAAATTCATATAAATTTAACGATGTCGAGGATATGAAATCCTGTACTGCTGGGTTCCCGGGCATGCTGGGAATAAAAGGGAAATGAGCTTGCAGATATCGCAGCCAAAATCTGCTGTTGAACTGTCCAGTCGCCTTATCCCTTTTAGAGACATCTGCTGTGTCATCAAGGGAAAGATCCGAAAAAAATGGCAGCAATTTTGGGATGTTCAGCATCACAAACAAGTTGAGAAACGTCAAACCTAGAATTGAGCATTGGGATTTTGCTGGAAATCGTAAGGAGGACGTTCTTTTGACTCGCCTCAGAATTGGTCACACTAGAGTCACACATAACTATCTTCTTAAAGCTGAAAATGAGCCTGTTTGTTTTAATTGTAATGTTTGTTTATCTGTTCGTCATATTTTAATTGAGTGTCCATGTTTTAATAGTCTTCGCCAGAAATATTTTAATAGCTGTGACTTACCTCTCGACCGTTTAATCGGAAGAGAGGTCAATTCTAATTTATTTTATTATTTAAAAGAGATTGGCTTTTATTACCAAATGTAATTTGTTTTGAAGACTGTGTCTTGAATTTTAATATGTGCTTTTAACTAACTTGTGTTTATATGACTTCATCCTCTGGATTTGGTACATTTATCTACTTGTTTTTATTGATTGAATTTTAATGTCATCAATTGTAATCATCCCATCTTGTGTTTGGCGCGTCATAACCATCTCTGGTTTTTGCGCCATAATCACTCACTCACTCACTCACTCACCCCATTTCATGTATCTGTTGCTGATCTTGAAGCGAAAAACCTTGAAAAAATGAAGATGTAATTTTCCAACTACTATCACCAATGTTTAGGACTAAAGTTCATTTATTTATTTGTTGAATATTCTATTCAATCTATTACATTAACCTGAATTTCAAAACATTAGGAAATACGAGTAGTCACGGGAGCTCACGTGATTATTTCGACCATTGTTATCAGTTAGGTTTGAAGAATCAATCCTTCTGATAAATTCGAGAAGCCAGACGAGGATTATCAAATCAAGAGGTTTGTTTTATCCCCCCTCCAACTGATAAACAGCAGAATCATAAAATCTTTGCTTATTCAAAAGTTGAAGAAATATTTAGCGTTCTTCGGACGAAGACTTTTGCTGGTTTAAAAATCTATTACTGTAACTTGCAGTAAAGTAAATCTCAACATGTAGAATTCTTAAGCAAAATTCATTAATATTATTGTTGAATGTTATAAACAAGCAGGCAGAAACATAAACATTATTTTTTGCAAATGTTTCGTAGGTGAACTGTTTAAAAGGATAGAGATAAGTTCATTTCCCTGTATAACAAAGGCAATAAGTAGCTAATTAATTGCTTACATACATCTCATATGAAGTTAATACGTGAATATCGTTAGTAAATATTACTTTAGTTAGAGAATATTGTTTGTAAATAGATCTTAATCTGCTCGTTCATAATAATGCTTATATGTCTTCGTGTTTCCTGCTAATCCAGCGTTTGACAAGCAAATAGTTTATATCATGATTTCCAAATTATTATTACTTATGACACAGCAAAAAAAAAAAAAAAAACTCTTTAACTTATAGCCTTAAGATACCCCAAATTTACAAAGCTTCTGTTTTTCAATTCCTTTTTGTGCCATCTAAACATAATGACAAGTTTTGTTTCACCCAGACATGTTGACATTTAATGATCCATTTCGTTACATGAATACGATGTTTTAAATGTTTTAATCGGGGCAATTTTGCCTCTTATTTAATGCTTAGGAGAAAGTTACATACGCTTATATTTTCTTATTTACATTTTCTGTGAAACGTTCAATGAAAAAATTGCATTACCTTTACGATTCAATGCATGAGCAATTTGATAACCAATAAAGTAACCAATGGATCCAAAATTCAGATAGCTGTAATAAATACAAGAATCAATGCCAAACACTTCCAACTTAAACTGGTGAAATAAATTAACAGAATTTGCGCATTTTATCGAATTGCATGAAAATAACTGAACTGAAAGAAAAACCAATAATTCAGGATAAAAATGCAAATCTTGTACGGCAAATACGTAAGCGTACTCGTGTGTGTAGGCGGAGCCAGCAGAAAAACAGCCTTTACGAGCGCGTGGGGGATAAGACGAATTGCTTTCTCTAGCAAACCTCGATGAATTTCTTGGTGTTATCTTGCAGCAATCGGTTAAATTCACATCCGAACAATAAAAATGAGAAACCACCAACGTTTAGATGATGGAATTAAGTGGCGAATTGTGGGGAGGCTAGAGAAATGCCAATCGCAAGTCCAGATATGCAGAGAGTTTAATTTAACGCCCAGCGTCGTGTGTAACTATGGAAACAGTTACAGGATACTAGATCCATCGAGAAAAAGCCTGGGCAAGGTCTTCCAAGAGCCAGGACAGCCTCGGGACCTGTATGCAGCCAAAGGAAACCCGTGTCACAAGGGTGACTGTTTCCAAAAGACTGAATAAGAGAGGATTGTTTGCCGGAAGACTGGCTGTTTGCGTCTCGCTCCGTCTACGGACAAGAGACTCTGATTAGCATGGTGCAGTCAGCATAGTGATTGGAGTACGGAGTAATGGGCGACCGTTCTATTCACCAATAAGTCGCATTTTAGCTTAAACACCAATTCTCGCCGAACTTTCATATGGAGAAAAACCAGGGACCCGCTACCTACCCTCCAATGTACGCGAAATGAACAGCTATGGCTGTGGCGGCGTAATGGTCTGGGCAGGCATCATGTTGGATGGAGGCACACCTCTCCACGTCTTTGACAGAGGCTCTGTGACTGGTGTGAAGTATAGGGATGAGGTCTTGGAGCTCTATGTTCGCCTTTTCCAGGGTGCAGTGGGCCCCGAATTATTGGACAATAACGCGAGGCCACATAGAGCTCTTCTGGTCAACGAATGTTTCAAGAGTGAGAATATTCGCCGGGAGGATTGGCTAGCCAGGTCTCCAGACCTCAACCCTATACAGCACATGTGGGACGCTCTGGGGAGGGCAACTGCACCTTGCAACCCTCTTCGAGAACCATCCATGAACTGAAAACAGCATTGCTGAATGAGTGGGACCAATTGCCACAGGCACTGATAGACTGCCTTATTTCTAGTGTGACATCAAGCTGCGAGGTCTGTATGGCTGTTAGAGGGGACTGTACCCCATATTAGCATCCATTTCTTTTGTGTCTTCTGTAACCGCTTTTTCAGGCCTTCAGACTTCCATGAGTGTTACATACGAACATGTGTGTTGATTATAACTGTTGCATGTTTATTTTGTTTATATTATGTCAACCTATGTTCACACCAAATTTTATTAAAATCTGTCCAGTAAGTTCTGGAGGTCGTAGATCAAATATGAAAATTCTCTTAATTTCTTTCACCAGCGTATTACATTAAAAAACATTACAAAATAAAATAATAGTCATATACAGTGGATTAATCCTTAGAGGGCAGATAACGAAAACCTGAATATCCAGCATATTTTCGCAACTAGGAGCATGAAGTGTGTTCAAAATCTTTGTATTTGTATGACGCATAGCAAAAAAATAAACTTTTTAAACATAAAAAATCAAATGGTCAAACAAGGTAGAGGATAAAATCCCTGAACACAATATAAAAGCACAAATAGCTGATCATGATGCCAATGCTAATTTTGAAGATAATTAAAAATGGGAAATACGGTAACATGAACTGTGAATTCAGGATAAGGAGATTTCACTGCTTCGTAACCGATTTATAAATTCCTGGAGAACTTTCAGAGAACACTGGAACTCTGAAATACTGGAACCTACAGCGTTAGGCATATGTTAAACTGAATTAAGCTACGAAATGAGACAGCATGTGAAGTGTATGAATATTAAATAGTCGAAATCGCTCGATAGAGTTAGTTCTAAATAGTGGAAGTCGTTCGAAGTCAATAGTCCCTTCATAGAGCCGAATATTGCTCGATGCTCGGTGTTATCAATCATTAAAAGAAATTCGCTCCTGGTAATTATACAATACAATATAACATATAAACCACAGATTTCGTGTCTGTATTCATAGCATTCATTAAAATAAAATGAAAGTCATACAAGCTTGTACAGATGTTTTCTTGTATTCCATAAAATATTGTTCTTCATTTACGTATTTTTATAATGAGGCGAAGATTATGCCGATGTCTAAAGTTCTTCTTCAAGCACAATCTTGGCACGTTAATGTAAGGTAAAATGAATGCATTCAACGACATTTTAGTTACAAGTTTCTCTACATCATTTGAAACGAATGCCACTTGTTGCTAAAAGGCGAGAAATACGTTTATTTGTATAAAGGCCTATTTTGTCTTACTTCGCGCACAGAAAAGAAGTCGTTATGCGCAACGTTGAGATGGCAGCAAGTTTAAGCGCTCTATAGCTATTACTTTTGGAATTTATATGTAATTTTCCACTTTAAAAACCAGAGAACATGTCTTACATTGAAATGGCCCATGGACTGTTACATTTTTAGGACTTCAGATACTTGCTTTATCTCCAGAAACTAAATCTATGACTTGAAGAAGCAACTTGAAGTCACACGAGAATATAGGAATTTTTCGGATAGGGGGTATTTTACAGGTATACCTTGATATTTTACAGTCGCGTGTTTTCCTTACACGTAAACAAGTGCTTTATTAGCCCAAAGAGCGTTAGCCCAGAAGGGCTACTGTTTTCGTTTTGGCACTTTGCGTCGGTTCACTATAAATGTCGGTTCACTTTTCAAATTTTTGCCACCAAATATTAGAGCACTGCAATTGGCAACACTGTACCAAAAAAAAAAAAAAAAAAAAAAAAAAATTATCACCAGCGCCGCGACGCTGTGTATCAAAAATGCTAAAGATATGCTCTTTTTAAATTATTTTGTGTTATTACTGTTGAACTGAATTTTATGATTTAAGTGAGATATACATATCATTTAATAAATAAAAGTAACATATAAAACGTTAAAAAGCACCACTTGGGCGTAATATAAAATCTGAAAGCTTTCAGATTATATATATATATATATTTAATTATTTCTTGTTTATTTAATTATTTCTGTCTTTTACAAAATAATTTATTCTCATTCTCTTGAGGAAATTCAAACATATTATACGGTATTTTCTCATTCCTTCCAGTATGCTTTCGTGGTGTAACGGTAGTACACTCGGCGGGTATTCGAGAGGTCCAGGTTCGAGTCCCGGCAAGGGCATTGCTCAATTTTCTTGTCTCCCGCTTCTGCAATATAATCTACATATTTTACTTTGAGTGGAAATTCATTTATAATGAATGAGCATTTAGAGGCTAAACTTTTGTTTCACTCTCAAATAAAATTTTTTATAATTGCATATTCATAAATTAAATTTTTATGCTAAAACGCTTTTCTTGTTGCTTTATTAACCAATATTTTTCTTTGTGATGTACTTAATGCATTTCATGGTAATTTATATGTAAAAGAGTATATTAGATAATATAATTAAAGACTTACTGTGGTCGATTAATGTTGAATATGGGATGCTGTAAAATCCCTGCCGGAATATCTGTAAAAATATATATTAAGGAACAATATAGTCGCAAATAAAAATAAGATCTTATTACTTAGTATCAGTCTGTGTTTTTAAATGCTAATGTATGTTAAAAATTTGTGTCTAAAAAAAGGTAATCTTCAGCTTTTAACCGCACTTCCAAATCAATATCTTTTTTATTTCCTCGTATAATAAAATGAATATTTATAGAGTAAACAGTCTCTTCGGGTACTGCAATCAGCAGCACTGAAGAAGCCTGAAATATATCTGAAAATGACTTGAACACTGGCAGTTGTTTTTAAGTTCTTTGATAAATCATGTTAATTAAAATTTTATTCAATGAAATGTTTTGTGGAAGATATAAATAGCAAACAAGTAAGCATATCATACAATATAATCCCCACGGAAAATCACTATAAAAGAAGACTACATATTGCATGCAGTAAAAGGACTGTTTACCAGGAGAGGAAGACTCCCAGATCTGCGCTATTTTTCAAGCTTTTAACACGGTTAATGCGCCTCCTCCTCCAGAGGTTATACAATAGGACATAGCCCCCAGTCAACCCAGAAGAACAATTATATAATAAGGTACACAAAGTTTTAAGAGCACAAGTCAGTAGCGACCGGGCTCCAGTCGGACAACTACAAACAGAAAAGTCAGATCAAAGACTGTCTCACAGTGTTGTGACCAAGAGGAGCCAACCCCCCAAAGAGAATCTTCGATATCTAACCATGTAGTGTCCCCATAACCAAGGGCGGACAAGAAAGTATTAGTATAGCCCCTTCCGAGCCTAAATCTACCACCAAAAATTCGACGGTTCTAGTCACTGTCAAGATTGATTATATACCCCGGTTGCCGAGTACAGGTCTTATCCAGAACGCTAGGGGTTGCCCCCCCATTCGAGCCCCGGGCAGATAAACATTTATTATGATGACGAATACCTAAAAACAGCAGAGTAGGAAACCAATACAATATTTGAATGTACAACGCAAAGAGCTTCTCGCTTACAGACTGATTGATATAAGAATGTGTCGTGAGCAGCAAATGGCTGGCATATCGTTCACTTGTCCTAGTAGAATCAACAGAGTTTTCCAACAATCACTATTCTGTAATCAAATTTATCATTACTATACCTATGGTGGTAATAATATTCCATTATAGAAAAATAGTTAAGATATTTTGTGGATTATTTTAATGTTATTTATTTTAACATTATCTTTTTACTTTTTATTATAATTATATATTTTACATAATAATTTATTACATGTTTCTTCCCTTTAAATCTTGTATATTTAACTTTATTGACTAATGAATTAAAGGGGTTCTTTGGTTCAGTAATTTAAATATGATATGAGAGATACTGGTTCTCTAAAATAAGTCTGTTTTTGTATCTCATGGCCAAACCTAAATTTGCCATTATACACTTGTTGCAAGATAACCATGTTTAATGAGCGCTTAAGCACATATTTCACAAGTGCACATTAGAATAGCCACTGAGAGAGGGGCTTCGAAAATGGATCAATGAGCTTCTATTGCTCTTGTGACGCTAAATCTTCGTGCATGTGAGCGTACGTTGTATATGTTTTAATTTTCATTTGTAATACTAGTACGAAATCTCGTAGTGCTTTCGTTATACGAGTTTAATTAATGCCTGACATTTCATTTTCGCAATTTTTATCACGCATTAATATTTGGATTGATGTTAACGGCGTATTATCGCTTTTTTACATCGAGAAAATGACTCAAGCTACAGTTAGCCTCGAATATTATGCATTTACTAACCCCTGTGGATTAAGAGAATTCAAGTGTATAGTTTTATTTTTAATTAAGCTGAGAAGGACTGGAAGTATTATAATGAATCTAGTATTTCCTTATTTCAGTGCATTCTTTTGATGTTTAAAGTGTAAGATTCAAAATACATATTGTGCATGATCTAATTATATCCATTGTTAACATTAAAAATTATATGTGAATAAATTGAATATATTCATTGTGAATAAGATAAATTTATTCTGTTTGATGAGTATTTCTTGTTTAGACAGTACATTTAAGAGTGAGCAGTTATTAAATGTGAAATTAAACAGACAAAATGTATACGAATGCAAATTAGTTAAGTTCACTTTGAATAATATTCTGCGTTGGCTATAGGACATCTTTTTCATTTTTACTGCAAAAAAGGTGCTGACTTCTATTTACATATATAATTGGTGTAAATATTTTAACATGGATATTTTTGCGGAATATCCAACATGTGTTTGTAATTATTTCAAATTCTTTCAACCAGGTAGTGAAAACTTCCCAATTGTTCATATTTGATCTAACTTTGCAATTCAAATTTTCAGAAGAACTCGACGATGCTTTAATTATTTTGTAAAGAAAATTGCGTAGCAGAATATTTTCAACCATCTTGCTTAAATCTTAAAGCACGCGAAAGGTCATGTGACATGACAGAAATATTACTGGATTCCCATTGGTCCATCCTAGAAGCCACTCCCTCGGTGGCTACACAGATGTGCACTTGTGAAACATGCTAACGGCATAAATATGAAGCACACACTTCATACTTGTCCATTAGTGCAAATCAGACATTAGTGCAAAAACGTAAATTAGTGCCCTTGGCTAACTAATGCATTGCGAATCGAGAAAAAAATGCATTAGTTACTATTTTATTATTATATGAAGAAGCTATGGTTTTATAAAAACAGGATATTTTTTTTCTTTACTAGAAACATATGCTTCTAATTCAAGTTACCAGAAGAAGAGGCTTTGGTTGGAAAAGTTTATGAAGAAATGAATTTGTGTAAACTTTCATGCATTTAATACTTGTCAATAGTTTAATCTAGAGACAAATATGTAAACCTTACGTTCATATAATCTCACTTTAATGTTGCATATGCTCCATTATGAATTTTAAAATTTATAATTGAATTAAAAATACGCGACATTTTATAACTGAACGCTCACATAATTAAGTGTTAATGAAGAGAAGTTTAAAACATATCTTAATGAAACATAATCAAATGTAAATTTATTAGTAAAATTAATGCGTTTCAAAATTTATTTGAAAAAATAAAATCATGTTATTTTCAGATGTCGGAAATCCAATCTCAAGTAAAAAACATACGTTATTGTGAAAAGATAAGTACACTGCGACAAACAAACAAATAAACAAAACGTTAGGACAGTTCTAGTTCTCCCTTTCTACTGGGCCGATTGACGAAATTCAAATTGTGTTTTTCGTGTCTCGAAAGCGCGACTTAGGATATATATTATATTTATATATAGCAGTGTTTTAATATAGGTATTTTGACACAAAATCGGACTTTTTCTGAAATGACATGCCAATTTTTTTCCATATTTCGGTTCTACGATACAAATTATGTCTAAACATTAAACTTTGTAAAATTTGGTACGAAATGTATGGAGAAATTTAAAAATTTATCCTAATTTTTTTCAGTTTTCCCCAAGAATGGCGAACTTCTTAATTTATTGCAATTTAGTTTCCTTTCCTTTTTACTTTCTTGTACGAAGTAAAATGAAAGTATTGTAATCGCGAAAAGTTTCAGGCAGCATATTTCAACGAAAATATCCCATTTCGTCCTCTTTCAAATGCAATTTAACGATGTATTTACGTGATATCTGTATGTAATGACAGAATACAACACTCTTTTTCTTCAAAAAAATTTATAAAACTGCTTTAAAATGAATTCTGAAGAGAATTTTTGGTGGCGTCTGTACGAACATATGTACGTACGTACATATATCGCATACCTAAAAAACGAGTAGCCTCAGAACGTTTAAATTTTGTATATAGGGCTGCTATAACACGTAGATGTGCACCTCGTATTTTGGTTGCAATCGGCCGCACCAAACGTATATAAATATATTTATATATATTAATCCACTCTGTTACCCGGCTCAGTAATCTCAGTTTCTTTACTCTTATATGTTTGTAAATAGTACATTTTTTGCTTTAAAAATGATTGAATTATGTTGTTCTTATCATCCGGTTAAGGTTTTTATGTCTTTCGTAATTCTGGAAGCAATATTTGTACAATTATCAACAATTTAAAAGCTGTTTAAGTGCGGTTACGTTTTAAATAACATGGCGGACATATTTGTTTACATTTGAAACAGCAGAATTGTAGATTTGAGACTAAGCTTCGGAACACAAAAATAACGCCTTCATTTATTATTGCGAATTAAATCATGCTTAATCCTTTCTGGAATTTTTTCGAGGAAATAAGTGTTTAAGATTTACTTCGTAATTTTTTAAAGCAGATATTTTGAATTTTTATGTATTTTTGCCTTGTCGCGAAGTGAGAACTGAATTAATTGAATGAGAAATACTGAATCGTCTGTAAAAAACTGTTTCTTTTCTGTTTTGTTTACTTAATTTCTTTCATACATCGTTTTAACTTTATTATAGTATTTGAATAGAACATGTAGCAACGATAATTCTTCAAATGATATAAATTTTGTGCATTCAGAGTATCGTTATAGTAAATAAATATAGTGAATTTTAAAGAGTGCATTTATTCTATTGCCATTTATGCGCTGTCGACGAAGTAGATTTAATTCAATCCTATCAATTTAAATGAAATTCAAGAAAAAAATGCGTATAATTTAATGTTCCGTACAAGGAAGTCATGTGGTGTACACATCAGATTTTTTTTCATTGTAAACGTGCGGAGAAAATTCGTCGCTCATTTTTTTCAAATAATTTTAACAAATTTCGTAAACCACATTTGGCGTTATTATCGCTTATAACAATTATGCTGAATTTCAAAATGCGCCAACATGTAAATTTACTATATCCTAGGAAATTCTGAATAAAAATTCTACTTTTTTTCCAGATATACTTAGAAATACATCTACTTTAAGATTAAAAGCTTTTAATTCAAAATTGTTTTCGAAACATTTATAAAAATATTTAAAAATACAAATTTTAAAAATAAATCATAAAAATATGGGATCATTTTATTTGGAATGAAACTAAATTTCGAATTTTGGAAGAAGGAATCAAGTAAGTTTAATGAAAAAGAGATATTAATAAATATATATATTAAATTTAATTAATACTGATTAGTTAGAATTTTGAGACCTATTTTTTTTTAACTACTCGTGCGACTTTTACAAAATTTAGCAGTTTCGCGTAATTTGAGTTCGCGGAATCGAAATATGGAAAAACATTGGCATGTCCTTTCGGAAAAAGTCCGGTTTTGTATCAAAATGTCTATATTAGAACAATGATATATATAAATCTAATACATATCCTAAGTCGCGCTTTCGAGACATGAAAAACGCAATTGTAATTCCGTTAATCGGTTCAGTAGAACGGGAGATATAAAGCTGCCCCCCCCCGTTTTTTTTTCCGCGCGCGGTGTACATATTTATATGTGTGTTCTTCGTTGCATTAAATCTATTAGTTTATTTCCTCTCCTATACCATTAATTTTCATACATAATCTTGAATTTTTTGTCAATAATTCAATTAGTCCTCTTGTTATGAATGCTAAGACATTATTACTTATTGAATTAAAATTTTTCAAAACAATTATTTACAAGGTTATATCAAATGTACAACTAAACAGAATAATTTTTTTTTACCAATGCTGTTCTCTCTATGATCATAAAAGGCTTTCACGACTGTTGATTTTGAATATTTTTTCCACCTGCAAATAAATAGGTATCGATATGCAATAAAATTTCTCTGTTTTAAATTAAAATGTCTTTGTTCTCTATTTCTAGTAGGATACAAATTAATTTAATGATAAATTTAATGAATTTCAGAACAAATGGCTTGAAAATGAATAATGGAAAAAATAATGTAATGACAACATAAATATTTTCGTTTTAATTTTTTAGTTAAATTATTAAATTATACTGTTTTTCCACTATATTACTTTTTTATGCTAGCCAATACACACACACACACACATACATAAAACAAAAACAAAACAAAACAAAACAAAAAAAAAAAAAAGGTTTAAACCAATATCCAACTATTTCAGTTGCAGTAACTAAGGCAATATTTAGTATTAAATCAAATATTTAAACTGAAAGCACATTCAATTTGGAATAAGGAGTTGGTGAATAATAACACATTATTTTGTGAATACAATAAACCGTTGAGAAAAAATAAAAAAATAAGAATTTCCTGTATTAAAATTCAATAAGGGCAAAGAATGCAAACGTATGTAAAAAAATAAAAATTATAAAAGCAGAGCAAGACATAAAAATTATAAACACAGCGCAAAAAATAAAAATAAAGATCTGAATTTTCCGGCACATTGCCTTTATATATATATATGTAAGATATAACAAGATGACTGCTTTAAAAAATAATTGGCGTCCTCAAAATAAATATTCTAAATTTGGTGCTCTCCCTGTAAATTCATCTATTCTCCCAAATTTGAAATCATTCCAAATTACGCACCTTTTTACCTGTGCATATAAAAAATTATCGTAATTGCTATTATTAAACTGTATATTGTCTATTAGTAAGTATTCTAGTGTGCCTGCAAATCTGCAAATAAAGATGTTAATTGCTTAATCTAGTTTGGTATCAACTTCTTCGATGTGCCACTCAGCCATCGCGAATCTGCTTCGAAATTATGACATATATATATGTGTGTGTTGTATATGTATAAGCATGATTCTTTCTCCATAAATAGACGGATCTATCGTCGAATCCTTGGAGCGCGGGGAAAGTCTCTTGTCTAGACAGAGAGAGTTTCAGAGCAGAAAGACACTTATGATTGTAAAAAGAGTGAGATGCTGGGTTACGCGCACAAACTTTCAGAAAGTTTCAGCGTTCGGGTGTTACTTAAGAGAGCGAGCAGGTCCTCCTCTTTTTACAATATGTTATACTCTTGTAAATGCTTCTACAAATTCTTCATATTCACCTCCGAATTTACCCTAATTGTTTTCCTCATCTAAAATAAATGTCTGTGTCTATAATCCAAGAATTCTTATTTCTGAATTAAGAGGACACCACATATATACTATAGCTTATAAAAGTTAAGCATGCCACAAAATCGCGAAAAATAGAAAAACAAATTCCGCTGACCCTAAATTTATATGAAGGTATCAAATGTAAATTCACGAAGGTAAATAAACATCACGTATTAAGATGAAAACAATATGTAATTTTCGTAAAGCATGATTTCTCATTTGAATCCTTAAAAAGTTGATATTTCGAGCTGAAAACAGAAAACTAATCCTTACATTATTAAGCTATGTGACTACCCTGAATCATCACTCAAACTTTACAGAAATTGCCTATCATTTCAATGAGATGATCAATTGTCGTAGATACTAGCAATGGCTATTCCTTCATTAGGACATTTTTAACTCTCTTAGACTAGCTGGAGGAGGCTGTCTGAGACTGGATGGTGGAGAAAGCTCATTCGAAGGCATCCCAAAGATTTTCAAAGGGATCAAGATCACTGGAATACGCGACCACTGAAATTTTAGCCAACACTATAATGCTACTACTGCGGTATCCGTGATGTTCGATAATTTTCTGGGCCTGATTCTGTGCTCCTCTTTTCTCCAGGCTTTACACTTTTATCATCTGATTCCAGTGCAAATCTGGATACGTCGAGCAACAGGACTTTATGCCAATCCGACACAGTCTAATTGATCTGCTGACGATAACATATTAATATATCCTCTTTGGACTGAGCGGTTAGTCGAACACAGACACTTTGCACTCGGAAGTACTGATCTTCGGAAGTAAAGACTTTTGTATCAGATTTTCGGCGCATAGCAGTACCCCGATTTTAAGCAGAGCTGGTAATCCTTCGTCGACCAAGCTCAAGTCTACGGACAACTGTTTGACTTATTTGGAATTGTTTCCACATTCGAGAAATTACGGAATGATCAACGCGAAAGAAAAGAGCGACATCTTTGATTGAATGTCCAACTTCAATGCGTTCGACTACATAGCAGCCCTCACTATCTGCCATTTGTTCGCTTCTAGCCATAGAAATACGAATATCATCAAAACTAATCTTACGAAAGCTATAAACACTTCGTATCAGAAATTAAATGAATTTCTTCAAAGCCTTCACAATGCTAATATCTTCAACCACTGCTTAATTAACTTATATTTTAACAATCAATCTTGATTTGCTGGAAGATATGATGTTTTCATACTGGCATGTCCATTTGCAGAAATGCTCAGCCGCTCAAATTCAGCAAATCTTTCAAAAATCGCGAGTTTCACACTGGGTGCTTAACGTGTGGGAGCCAATGTAAGTATAAATATGTAAGATAAAAAAGTACGTGAATAAAAGCGTATAAGGAATTTCTCCCACTTTCCTAGCGTGCCTTTGTGGTGTGGTGTTACCACTGGGCCGATATTCCAGAGGTCCGTGGTTCGATTCTCGGCGAAGGCAATTGCTCATTTTTCATCTTGACTGCTTCCAAAAAAACCCTAATGCCTCTACAAGTGTAACATAAATTACCTTCTTAATTCTTTCTTTTAATTTGGTATTTCCCTTTTCTTTTTTAAATATATGAACTGTGTATATTAGTTTTTTTTTTTTTTGGATTGCGCCATTTATAGATTATTCTATACCATATGACTTTTACATAACATTGGTGATGTAAATGGAATTAAAATAGCCAATAATTTTAGATCAGTCTTAATTATCCAATCAAATATAGAAAATATCATGAAACTAATTCACTCGGAATTAAGATTATGTCCTAAGCATTGCATTTCGTACCTATTTTTCGGGCTAGCTGGAATGCTGCTTCTACAGTTTTATGCTTCAACATCTAGAATATTATCAATATCTCTATAAATTTCTCTGTTATTTAAGTATCGATTTATTGTGGTAGATTTGTAGAGCTGTAGGTTAAGGAATGTTTGGTTATTTTTTGCTTACCGTGTACTTGACTCAAATAAAATGAAAACGCAAAGATGAAATATTTTAATATTTTCTCAATGTACGTAGATTCAGGTGTGCCATAGACATGATATGGTTGTCTTTTTCATAGGGTATAGAGAAAGTAAATTGTTTGCAAAAGTTAATAAATGAAACAAACACTGAATTAAAACCAGTTAATTACTTACTAATTTACTTATTTCAATAAATAAACAGGAATTAAAGCAATTAAATGAAACTTTATGATGCCAAGATTTTAAAAATGACCTAATCGCCTCTAATTACCAGATAATGTGAATGTTTCATATTATGAAATTCTTAACATTTTCCAAATTATCTTTAAACAAACACACTGAGTAACATTTAAAATATACATACTCTCCTTTCACATGGCGTTTCTGAAGTAAAGAGAAAGAATAATCAGTTGACCACTTGAGCATTTTCAGTGTGTTGTTAAAGTAATTTTCCTTTTTAAAATTCAACTGCGAAAAGAATTGAAATGTGTACTAAAGCACCGAGACAAGCTTCAATATCAACAGGTTAGGTTTACTTAAAATCTGACCAATAAATACTAAGATACTTACGTTCTTGTACAAATCAGATACATAAGAATCATTCAGAAGTTCTTTCGGATATCCGATATGTGACATTATTCCATTAATCTAGTAAATGATATAACAAATTACATAATTTCATTTAAATATATCTGTTAATACGAGGGCATTTCGAAAAGTAAAGATACTATGGCTCGCATTTCTTAAAAAAACATTTATTTAGAAAACGTCAGTTACATCTTATTAAATGGATAATTTATTATTTTTCGACATAATCACCCCCGTTATCCAAACATTTAGTTGAGTCGGTGCACAAGCTTTTGTATCCCACAGTCATAGAAGGTTGCCGCCTGTTGGAACCCAGCGCGCACACAATTTCCTGTACCCTAACTTGACAGTCACAACTTCATAAAGAGTTGTCATTGACACTTCCGGTATGATCTGATGCAATTCTTTCAATTTGAGACGTCTATTCGCACGAATTGCTTCCTCTGTTCTCTGAAGAAGGACATCAGAGATCACAGATGGCCGATCGTTATGAACATCGGTCCTACCTTCAGAGAAATGACGACACCATTACATTTTGTCGATTCATTATGTTCCCATAAACAGAAACTATTTCTTTGTGAATATCCCCTGGTCGCTAACCTTTCGCATGAAGAAAACGTATGACGGAGTGCACTTCGCATTTGGCGGGATTCTGAATCGGCGCAGCCATTTTAAACACGACCTTCTCCAACCAGATCAACGTTAAAATGCCGAACGACCGCGAGGAGAAAGCTAACGGTTCAAGGTTAATACCTGTGTTGCCAACTTGCTCACCAAAACTTTTCTTTTCCTCTGGCGTACGGTGTATCTTTACTTTTCGAAATGCCCTCGTATATTAGTATGTATACTATAGTAATATTCTACAGCGATTAAACAGTATGTATACTAAACTAAATAGTTAGTAAACTGTAAACTAGTTTAGCAGTTCTCTATAGAGTCTAAACACCGAAAATAGAATATTACTACTTTTATATCAACTGTACTCTGACAAAGTTTCTTTATCTCGCTCTAACTGGATACACACATCCCAAGTAGCACATGACGTAGCAAAGACGTTGCAAACTCGTCCGACAGGTTGCAAATTGGTTGTGGTAACGTCTTTGCTACGTCATGTGCTACTTGGAATTTAATGCTTTCAAATTAATATCTTAAAAATTTTCTGATAGACTATACTTTCAGAATGACAATTTATGTAGCCCAAACGATATAATAGTCAGGTGAGCCCACTGTGGTACCGAAGGGCCTGAGGTCGAATCCCGGAGAAGACATGATTGTAACTGTCCGTCCCTTCAGAGGAAGCAACGGTGGTAGTGAATTACATGGCTCCTCAATAAAATTGCCACCATTTTTAGCCTTAGGAGTGGCCAAAGCTGAAGAGATAAGTGTTCGCCATTGAATTAAAAAAGAGACTGACAATTTATCATCATTAACAATATTACTTGAGTATCGAGCCTAATGCTTATTTCTTCTCAAACAGCAGTGGCATTTTTTATTATTTGTGCATAATAATACTTTCCTATAAAAATATTTTCTAAAGATTGTGAAAATATGATTAATTGAAGCTTCTGTAACGAACATTAAAAGTTTAGGATCACGAGTATTTTAATGTAAACGAACAGCTAGGGATACCAAAGGTTTTTAGAGGGATTCCGACTGAAATATTTCCACATTTCGCAAAGATACTGTGTGGAAAAAATAGACGATTCAAAAATTAAAAAAAGGATAAAATTTATAAAATTTTGATTACAAGATACTTTGTCTCAAATTTTAAATATTTTTATTGCTACCAGAATTTATTTACTTGGGATGAATATTTTGATTAAACACAAAACACGTTTTTATTCAAAACGTAAGTAAAATATAAAAAAATACGATACATGAATGTTACATGGAATAAGAAATCAATCATTGGGATCGTAAAGCAAAGCTACACTATCAAATTTTTAAACTGAGTTTACCATAATTCTTTCTTTAAAATATTAAGATATTAAAATTATCTTGTTTAAAAAATGTATCTCGAGAACCAATTAACGGTTTTGGTAGCCATAAACTGGTATCCAAACTTCAAAAAAACTTGGAGCGAATTATCGCTGCCGCTGAAGGCAACGCCAAATATTTGTCAAGATTGCAAAATAGTCTTTTTTTTAAATCAGATCACTGAATATAAAATGCGTGTCTCGTGATTAACGGGATCAGCCAACCACTTGTGACGATGACGATAACAGTCACTTTCAAATTTAAATAAAATTAAATAAAATTTAATAGTCAAAGACTATACAGTTTAATTTAATTCGAAGCTGAATCAAAACATTTCACGGGCGTAGCAATTTAAATAAATGTCGGCAATTATAGCAAAGCCGAAACTGCAATCATATTTCAACTATGAAATCTAGTAATGGACCTCTAGAGACAGAAACACGCTGTGTCTTAAAATTCATAAACCTCAGATTAAACACTCTTCAAACTAAGTTAGCATTTTGGTTCGAAAATGGAAAGAAGAAGTAACAATAAAATCTAAATCACAAAATAACAGTTTATATAAAGTAAGGATTTGATTTATTTGATCATGGCTAAACACACGAGGGTTATCTGCCAAAAGGGAGGAACGCCTTTATGGAAGACCTTCTAAGGGAAACTGGCTCGTATGCACGTTGCACATGGGAGAAACCACGAAAGCATTCACGCAGCTACTCCGTTTGCAGGATTTGAACCTCGGACTGAACTACCAGTGTTCGGCCCGCGGTTCAAATCGGTGGTAATCACCGCTCAGCCGCTGGTGTGCCTAGTAATTAAAAATAATATTAAATAAGATATTTAGAAATATTTTAAAAGGTACAGTATTTCTAAAATATTTCACAAATAAAAGATAACGGAAATGGCAAAAATTATGTAATGATTCCAAGTGCAATAAATTTACAACGGTAGTGATCTCAAGCTCACAATCTTTTAAAAAAAACGCCTTCGAGTTAGGGCTTAGGGAAGAAAAATGCCCTAATCCTTTATTCCTAGTAAATTAATTGGCTTATCTTGACACTTTGCGGCACTGTGTGTCCGGTCTGGACACACCTAAAAATTTTCTTCTGTACGCACAGAAAAATGGAATCAAAAAGGATTTATAGGTTGCTATAGGTTACTCTGAACCTTCTTTAATTATAGTAGATGGCAGCTCAACACAAACCAGTTTTTTATATTTAGCCATGTTTAGTTTTAAGCCCTCATTTTTCAAAGAATCTTCCAGATTTTTTTTAGGGTATAAAATGAATTGTTTGAAAAAAATATCTATGTTATTTTGACTGCATGTAATCTCCTTATTCTATATTAGTTTTAAATTTTACCTTGAAATCTTGCCTAAATCAAACGCGAACCCTAGGTGTGCCCAGAGCGGGCTCACCGATAATCTAGGACAACTGAGAGTCTGTATTCTTTGTTTCTCTCCATCTCATCGGTCAGTTCATTGACAACAATGCTCGTTTCAGCACGCTTTTCGAAGCTCTATTCAATCAGTGTGCCCATTGGGCACACCCGCAGAATTAAAACAATAAGTGCTCACAAAATTTTACTTGTGTACTCCTCTGGGCCTAATTAGCCTGCCTACCTTTTTTTTTTTATCACAACTCCAACTTTAAAAGGTAGCGTGGCGGAAAGGGTTAAAGAAAACTACACTTCAGCGTACTAGTTAGTAAGCTTTGGAATTTTGTTTGTGTAATATATATCTTTTTTTTTAATGTCTCATGTGTCAAAATTTGTTTTGTTGAGTGGTGATCAATGCACTCATTTAAAAGTTATTTTGAAGATGCTTTCCTAGATATCAGAGTGAAAGAGATAATATGACTAATCATAAGCACTGGTTGATAAGTAGTTTTGGTTTCGTAAAAGCAGAATGTAAACACAATAAAGAAGAAAATAGCGTGGAAAAATAAATTTTTAGAAAATTATTTTTTCTCTCCGTTTTGAAGCTCTCCCGGTATGACTGCAATAGATTTTCGAGCATAGTAACAATAATAGTTTAATATTCATGAAATTAATAACAATATTTGAATGCAAGTTAAACCCCGAATCTTCATCTACACAAATTCGAGAATTGCAAGCAAAATCAGACAACTTTAATTATTGCTGATTCTTGCCATCCTATTTCCATTAATGGATAACTTAAACTTTTATTACTTTTATTACTAAGATTTTCTTTTTTTACATTTACATAATTCAAATTGTGGTATTACCTTGCTGTAAATCTTAAGTCTCTCACAGAGATAAATACAAAATAGGGCGTTATTTTTTCTTCTTATAAAAAGTTCATTAAAGATTTTTTGTAATTTCTAAACACTTTTTTAATTACCATTTAGATTCGGAATTGAAACTCACAACTTCATAATTCAAACAAGTTTAAAACCTCCCTGCATACTTTCCTCCAAATTTCAATATGATGTTTCAACTATTAATCGTGTAAATGAGTAACAAACATACAGACAGTATTTTATTTTGGTATATTTCAAGGATTTTATGAAATTTGGGATTTTAAATAACAGTAGGAAGTCAAAAGATATAACAGCACCTTCGCTTTCGCTCTACTTTTAATTCTGTCGGCCATCCATTGGGTGTTGTTTAAAATACGTATGAACTCTTGGTGAATGTAGTTGACAAACTCTAATGCCTGAAAAAAGTTTAATGGACATTATTAAACATATTGAAGTTAACAATAATTATTTACAGTTTAATGAAACTTTTAAAGTTGTTATGCAAAATATAATAATGCCTTTCAAAGACGGAGACAAGTTTTGAAATTTTTATGTTTTTCTAATTTGTATGCATACAAAAAATGGCATACTTATATAAAAAAATGGCAGCAAATAATCATGAATGCAAAGATAAAAAACATAATTAATTAATTTTCATCTAAAAATACTATCTTGAGTTAGAATTAAAAAGAAATACAAGTTCGATTGGTTTGATTGTATATTAATAGGCGTACATATCTGAATTAAATAACCACACTTCTTATTCCGAGAGCAAATGAAATATCACCAGTAGCGTTGAATTTCATGCACAAAAAATGTAGTTTTATTTGTAATTAATAATTTTATTAATATTTTCTAATAAAAACTGAATAATGCGGAAAAGAAAAGGAAAGATGAGACAGAAGTCCACAAAAATTAGCACTCATATACTGTGTGGAAATTCTCTTTTTACTTCCTTCTACGAAGTAAAAAGCAAGTATTGTAATCGCGAAAAGTTTCAGGCAACATATTTCAAGGAAAATATCCATTTTGACCGCTATCGAATGCAATTTAACGATGTTTTTGCGTGATATCTGTGCGTAAGGACAGAATAAAAGACACCTTTCCTCCAAAAAAATTATAAAACTGCTTTAAAATTAATTCTGAAGAGAATTTTTCGTGGCGTCTGTACGAACATATGTACGTAAGCGCGTAGGTACGTATCTCGCATAACTCAAAAATGAGTAGCCTCAGAACGTTGAAATTTTGTATATAGGACTGCTATAACATGTAGATGTGCACCTCGTATTTTGGTTGCAATCGGCCGCACCAAACGTATATAAATATATTTATATATATATCCACTCTGTTACCCGGCTCCGTGATCTCAGTATCTTTACTCTTATATGTTTGTAAATTGTACATTTTTTGCTTTAAAAATGATTGAATTATGTTGTTTTTATCTTCCGGTTAAGGGTTTTATGCCTTTAGTAATTCTGGAAGCAATATTTGTAGAATTATCAACAATTTAAAAGCTGTTTAAGTGCGTTTAAGTTTTAAATAACATGGCGGACATATTTGTTTACATTTGAAACAGCAGAATTGTAGATTTGTTGCCAATCTAGAGAGACTAAGCTTCGCAACACAAAAATAACGTCTTCATTTATTATTGCGAATTAAGTCATGCTTAATCCTTTATGGAATTTTTTCGAAGAAATAAGTGTTTAAGATTTACTTCGTAATTTTTAATGCAGATATTTGAGTTTTTTATGTATTTTTCCTTGTCGCGAAGTGAGAGCTGAATTAATTGAATGAGAAATACTAAATCGTCTGTGAAAAACTGTTTCTTTTTGTTTGTTTGCTTAATTTCTTTATACATCGTTTTAGCTTTATTATAGTATTTGAATAGAACATGTGGCAACGATAATTCTTCAAATGATATAAATTTTGTGTATTCAGAGTGTCGTTATAGTAAACAAATATAGTGAATTTTAAAGAGTGCATTTATTCTATTGTGGTTTATGCGCTGTCGACGAAGCAGATTTAATTCAATCCAATCAATTTAAATGAAATTCAAGAAAAAATGCGTATAATTTAATATTCCGTACAAGGAAGTCATGTGGTGTACACATCAGATTTTTTTACACTAAGACCGTAGTAAAGTTAAGCGTAAATGTGACTCAATCTGGAGATTTTATCACTAGGGAAAAAAGTCAGTAAATTACAAAACAAGAGAAGAAAAACTGTAAATGGGAGTTAAAGACAGGATCATTTTCTCTAAAGCCATTAGAAAGGACATAGCACATTCCTGTGGGAGGAAATTTATCAGATTTTGCCCTTAGTTACATTTTCAAGGAAAAGGCGATTTTCAGTTTATCATGGCACAAGGGTAAAATTCAGGACATAACAAACATTCATTGCACAGGCGATTAGTAGGAAAATATTTTTGTGTGATGACAGTATGATATCCTTCAATGAAAACGATGATTGAAAATATTTGCGATATAAAGAAACAGAAGAGCTACATTTTGAGTGTATCTGTACGCATGTAAAGCATTCTATTACTATGATAACAACAAAATATATTACATGAGAAAACGATGTAGACTGGAGCAAAGAAACACATACTGATGCGAGAAATTATGTTAGCACTAGTATTTACTGGAACCCAAATCCAGTCTTTTGTTTAAATTGTCTTTCTTAATAATGCTTAGTTTTTGAAGGAGATTCCGAAATTTGTCTAAGAAAAAATGCCAAATTATTTCATAACCGAAATTAATCGTTCCCTACGCGAAACAGTTTTTGGCCTGAACCTCATAGAAAATGTATGGGCGCTGTTTTAAAAAATGTGTATGAAACAGAAAAAGGTATGCTTCCTTTTCGCTGTATTTTTGACTATTTTAGGAATTCGTAATTAATAATGTATGAGATTATGTTATTTAATTCTACTTCAATAATTTTCATAAAATTTTGCAAAAGAATTTTTACCATATTACCATTTAATTTTATTCGCCATGCCAAAGTAAACTGGTTCAAAATTTTGCATTTTGTAGATTTTGTTATGCACATTTATGCTTTGCATAAGTAGTCATTTTGTCAATCCGCATACAGCATAATTATAGCTCTGCTTGAATTTTCCCAACTACTGATTCGATACAATTTTTATCTACAAATTTCATCCACTTTCTTCATTTTTCACTGGTTTGGAAATTCACACAGGCCCTCCTATGTGCACTCCCCCTTGGGTGCACAGTTTTAAATCTTATATTGTCGTTTTTAATTAATTTTTAACCCAAAGGGGCAATTTGTCTGGAAGAGCTATTAATTTCGTTCTACAATTTTGCTCTGATTTACTGCAGACGGCGAATCACTTTTTAAATTGTTGTTACCAAATATTATGTCTCTCCATTACATTTAAAGAAATTAAATAATGAAGAATCTGTATCAGTGTATATATGTTTCTCGCAATGAGTACCTAGAGCCTTCAAATTTAGCCCAGATTTGACATTTGGAAATTTTTTATTATCTATTTCATATTTTGTAAAGCATTTATGAGTTTTTTACTAAGAAACTCAACGATTTCAAACCGAGCAGTGACAACACTGTACGAAAAAAAAACATTATTATATCCAGCCCGCGAGACTCTCTATCGGAAATTCTAAAGATATGCTCTTTTAAATATTTTGCGATATTGCTGTTGAATTTAATTTTATGGTTTACGTGCAAAGAACATGATATTTAATAAATAATGGTAACGCACAAAACGTTACAAAAATGCCCATTTGGACGTTATATAAAATCTGAAAGCTTTCCAGTTTTTATTTTTTTATTTATTTATTTTTTTATTTTGCTTTAAAATTAGGTAATGCTTTCAGCTGTATACCTAGAAATAAGAATGGCAATGGATGATCACGTGTCATGCGTTAGTTTCGCACATGAGACAGCCCATTCTAGACAGTATTCTGTTATCAAATAATAACTTAACATTGGAGATTTTATTTGATAATTCTTCACTCATCTCTTATTTACATTTTATTTCCTTTTTGCATTTTTCAGTTCATCAAATGGAAAACCATTTTATTCGTAAAAATAAATTATGACAGTAAACTAAATTCTGACGTAAAATCAATTCCAATAGTAAAATTAATTTTGACTGTTATTTTACTATAGAACTACAAAAGCTTGTTTCCAGAAAAAAGGTAATTTCAAGAAATGTAAGCAATTGTATTCACTTTCTTTAACGTCATTTGCATCTATACTAAATTACTATTACTTTTGCTACTTAATTACTATACGTTTGCTTACAGCTACTTAATTACTATACTTTTGCTTACAGCTATTTAATTACTATACTTTTGCTACTTAATTACTATACTCTTGCTTGCGGCTACTTAATTACTATACTTTTGCTTACAGCTATTTAATTACTATACTTTTGCTACTTAATTAAAATACTTTTGCTTACAGCTACTCAATTACTATATTTTTGCTTATAGCTATTTAATTACTATACGTTTGCTACTTAATTACTATACTTTTGCTTACAGCTACTTAATTACTATACTTTTGCTACTTAATTACTATAATTTTGCTACTTAATTACTATACTTTTGCTTACAGCTACTTAATTAATATACTTTTGCTTGCAGCTAATTAAATACTATATACTAAAATCAATTCCAATAGTAAAATAAATTTTGACGGTTATTTTACTATAGAACTACAAAAGCTTGTTTCCAGAAAAAAGGTAATTTCAATAAATGTAAGCAATTGCATTCACTTTCTTTAACGTCATTTGGATTTACACTAAATTACTATACTTTTGCTACTTAATTACTATACGTTTGCTTACAGCTACTTAATTACTATACTTTTGCTTACAGCTATTTAATTACTATACTTTTGCCACTTAATTATTATACTTTTGCTATTTAATTGCTATACTTTTGGTTACAGCTACTTAATTACTATAATTTTGCTACTTAATTACTATACTTTTGCTTACAGCTATTTAATTACTATACGTTTGCTACTTAATTACTATACTTTTGCTTACAGCTGGTTTCTCTTTTTTCAATTTCTTCTTTCACTCCCAATTATAATTTTAATTAGAAATCTGTCTCTTAAAATAAACCTTCTTCAGGTAATGATGTTACTTCCAGGCGTTTTCTTTCCACTGTTTTTAAAATACTAGCGTTTTCACATTTCCTTAACAGATGATAATACTTTCGTTTGGTTCAGATGGTAATACTTTCAATTAATTCTACTTCAATGGTAATACTTCCATTCGGTTTGCTCAAAAGATGGTAATACTTTCGTTTAGTTTGCTCAACAGATGGCACTGCTTTCGTTCGTTTTGCGCAACAGATGGAACTACTTTCATTTGTTTTGCTCAATAGATGGTACCACCTTCGTTTTCCCTTCGTTTCCCATTAATTTAGTTAATAAAACCTCATAATCCTATTTTTCTCTTAACTCCTTTGCAATGTTTTTATTCCTAGGAGAGGGAAATATGTCTTGCCCTCGATAATAATATATTTGATTCCAAATCCCCGCCAATCAAAATTCGCTTGTCTGCTTAGTTGTAAACTTTATTATGAGATATTTATGTTTTCTAAACTGAGACTATATTGGTATAGGACGTAGGACTTTTTGTTACTCACCGATTCTTTGTTGTCCTCTATGAAGTAATTTCGAACATAGTAAGAGCTGAGGGCAATTCCTAAGTTATCACGAATTTCTGTGATGCATTCTTTCCAACGAGGTCTACGTCGGATATTTCTTGTCGTGTGTTTCAGATTCCTCCATTCTTCCCGAAATAACGACAAGGATTGATAGACCACTCTCCAGAGCATATAGTTTGCAATTACCCTGAAAAGATAGTAACACGCATTTAATTATGAATGTTTCAGAAGTGGGATAGAAAATTTCAGCATTCGAAGGAGCGAAACAATTTCATATTGTTACGAAATGTACAGGCGCGGTAAGATGGCTTCCCCGCAAAGCAGTTTTAGGGTTGCCATAAAATGGCAAAGGAAGCAGGGTTGCCACATTTGGGGAGAAATCGCCCATTTGGCGATATTTGTCGCCAAAATTGGTGATATGCCATTGACGGTAGTGCGAGATAGACATTTGGCGACAAAATTGGCGATATACCATGGACGGATGGAGAACCTTCTGTAATGAATTCTTACCGATTTAGCCCAGAATGCTCTCGAACACAAGCCGAAAACTATATAAACCCTGCTGGTCCGCAGTAAGTTGGTGTGAGAGTGTGCCTCTAGAGTAGAGTGTTTGCCCCATCCAGCGAGCTGACAGTCAGTTAGAGAGTGTGCCTTGTCGAGAGGGCGAGTCAGAGGGTGTCTCATCTAGTTAGTCCGTGCGCAGACGGTTGAGTTGACAGCCGGCCAGCGAGCGCCGATTGGTCGTCGAATGCATTGAAGAGTCTCTTAGTGTATCGCGGTTAGTGCATCGGTCGAGAGAGTTTGTTAAGCTCCGGGAACGACTGAACCGAAGAATCGGGAGCTGTGCTCTGCGTGTTGTCGAGTGCATCGCGAGTTGCAGCGTGGAGAGTCTCGAGAGTACGTGGAGTTCGGAGAACTTCACGTACTCTCGAGACTCTCCACAGAAATTATTGGAGCAAAGCGAAACCTAATATAACGTGATCTGTCGCTGAAAATAATAATAAAATGCGAAAACGCTAAGATATTAGAATTTTGAAGGGTTTCAAAATGAATATCATTGACTTAAGAAGAAAATTGTTTTCTAATATGAAAGGTTTCAATGAAATCCAATTTTACGTTACATTTGTTTCCTCTTTGCTCCGCTTGCTTCTTTAAACTTTATTTTTAAATATTTAACTGAACTGATTTCAGTCAATTTTAATGATTTTTCAAATAGCTAAGTTAAAATTATCATTCAAAATATTTCAAATCTCTTTTTCAGGAATAGCTTTAAACAAATAAGCTTGTGTTTTCTCATAAACTAGAAATTTGGAATTGATGTATCATTATTATTACTAGAAATGTCAATAATGCTTAATTTAGCTCTATAATTTTATTTCCTATTTAATCTCCGCATAGTTGTTCGTATTTTATAAATTGTATCTAAAGCTGCATATGCAACATGAAGCCTCATTGAATTATTTTTACCTTTTGTCCGTTTCTTTGATGAAAGTTGCTAGGTTTTTGAAGAAATCTATGTCCTCAACAAGCACAATGTCATAAATAGAGATTTGATCATTTAGTAAGCTTCTGAGATACTTAAGCCACTTAATCTGCAAATAAAATGATAATACTTGGTATTTTTATTCATATACAATAAATTTTCATCGCAAATCATAAATCATAAAATAAAATTAATAGCAGATATTTTATATATATTACAGCAGAACAAGAATTTAAATTGCAAATTTTCATTCACACTCTATGATGAAAACATTGAAACATCTAACACACGAAAAATCGGTTATTTTCGATAAAGCAATTTTTTTATCAACCACATTAATAATTGCTATCAGTGATAACCATGATATATTTTACTTTGTGACTCCATTGTTTCCCTGCATTTTATGTCAGGGAAAGGTATTGAATGCTTTTTAGTGGTAACATATGAATGAAATATTAACAATCCGAAACAAAGCCAAAACTTGAATACATAAAGGAATAATAAAGGAAGAATTAAAGCTAATGAACATAGTATACCTTGTAGTTATAATGTTTGTACAGGCATTTCTGTTTCGTAAATTATTGCATAAATCGGAATTTATTGCATGAATCGAAACATATTGCATGGATCAACTAAATGTGTGGCCTAAACAATTGATGGAAAACAATATCTGGGCTATTTGCAATTAATCAGAACAACTATCTCAAAAAGGATCATCTTAAATCTTTTTTCTAAATCTTATAGATTAAAAGCAGTCTTTGATGCTCTAGCTTTGTGACAGAATTTTCTCAGAAAGAAAGGTAATTATTTTTTTATATCTTTAATCGTTAAGCAGATAACTATCTGCGGGTATTTGAAACTGGCGGTATTATTTCCAGTTTTATAGCATACATTGCAAAGGAACATGTGCTTTGTTTGTTATTTCACCAATCCATACTTCCTTCCTAAACAAAATGGTCTTTAAATCCATTATCTGAGGTAACAACAATTTGTTCGTGTCACATTAACTTAATGTTTGACTTAGTTTAACTTAATACACATAATGGCCAAAGAATTAGAAAACCAAGATCAATATTTTATTGAACCACCTTTTGCTCGGAAATGCTCTGATTCGTTTGGGCATCGAGCCTACATGCTTCTGGAGTGCCTTTATGTCCAGAAAATACCATGCATTGGCCATGTAACCTTTTAGATCTTGTAAATTAGATGCAAGAGGAAAGTACTGTCGGCTGCGACTTTCGACCATGTCCAATGCATTTTCTATGAAGTTACGAACCGGGCTATGTGGTGGCCGTGGAAGGTGTTGAAAGTCCTGATGTTCAGCGAACCAATTTTGAACACCTCTGGCACGATGTATAGTTGCATGATCGTCAATGAAGTATTCACCGTCATCAGGGTATTGTAGGGTGGATTTGATTCCCAGTATATCTAAGTATATCATGGCTGTTTGTTTGCCCTCGAAGAACACCAGGGTACCACTTCCATGCCAACAGAACATGCCTCATATCATGATATTTCCACCAGACCCTTGCACAGTGCGAGTAAGGCAAGATGGATTCATGGCTTCATGGGGTTCTCGCAAAATTCGAAGTCCTCCATCCATGCAAAATAAGGTGTAGCGTGATTCATCCGACCACATTACCCGTTTCCGATCCTCAGACGTCCAGTGTATTCTTTCCCGACACCACTGCAAACGAATTCTTGCATGTTGGGCAGAAATGAGTGGATTTCCCACAGACACTCGACTATGCATTCCTATCCTCTACAATTCTCTGCGCATGGTTCGAGCTGAAATATGTTGGGAAGAACCTTGGTTGACGATCTGTGTCAGTACTTCAAGATGCCAACAAAGATTCAATATGGTCATCTTCAAATTAATGGCCATGATTCCCATAGGCCATAGAGCACTTTCTGCTCTTCATGTATTTTCAATATTTATTCTCGACTCTTGCCTAATTTCTATGAAATTTAATGGATTTTAAAATTTTTTAATAACTTTGTATAAACTATATATAATATATAAAAAAATTGTGACACTCTGCGCTATTCAGGTATTCGAAATTTTGAGTTGTGTGATAACAAAAAAGTTAGTTCAATGGTGATGTCCCACTGGCTTCTAACGTTTTTCGAATAAACTTTTATCTGTTGTATATTGAAGACCTATAATATAGACAGTAAACATAAATGTAATTTTGTAATTGCATGTTATAAAGCTGATTTCATATTGTTGTGTATTCAGTGGACATTCGAATTGGTAAATTAATTACAAATTTGGACTTATAAAGTATTTTGAAATCTATTTAATAAATGTAGAACTACTTTCTGGGGGAAAACAGTGTAGTATGAAAATATTTATTGGCTGTTGTTTTTGCTTTGCATGAAATGTTTCAGGTGGACATCAAGCGAAGGGAAGATTGTGGCGTTCAGCACGAGACCTTCAAATTGTTTTCATTACTGCCCAGATTGAAACTCACGTCATCGCTGGAGACCTGATTTGAATGCAGTTCAATCCTGTTTAGCGCGACACTATTCGAAATTCAAGGCGACTATGTCTTTGGCAGCACATGCGTGAAGTGCTGCCAAATGCCCTTCAGCCAGATGCCTTACGATGGTACAGATAGACATAGCAGCTCGCATTTAAAGTGATGGCTGTGTCCAGACGGCAAACAATGATGCAGTTGGCCTCATATGTGTGTGCCAGTCCTCTAGGTCGGGTGATATCACAGCGATGCCACGGGCGTCCTGAGTCTGGCCCTCATGTGTACACACTTCCTCATTCACTGGTACCTGCACCTGCTCATAATAAAATCAGCACGGCGTAGGTGGAAATTACTTGCTGAGCTGACCATCTCGCTTCCATCAACCCGACGATTCATCTTCTCTCTAACACTTGACATTCCGCCATATTAACCTCAATGGTGGTACAACGGAATTCCTAGTGAAACAGCATCCTTTTACAACAGATGAAGTATAGCAAAATATCGCTGCGTACCTTTTTATCCCCCACGTAGAACAATGTGCAGAACCGTGTTGTGGCCTTATGTTATGCACAAAAACAATCTATTTCTATGCATAACTGCCTTGCACTACTTTCATGCCTGCGACAATTATTTCTTGGTGAGCAAATTTTTATGTCAATGAACGCAGCTATACAAATACGGTTCGTTTTTGATTGTTGGACATATATTTAAACATTTTAGATGGAATTTTTGATCCCCCTGCAAACATTTGCACCAATAAACAATTAATGGACATACTACTTTGATCTGTGACATGATAGAAAGATTATTAAACATTACCTCTTTAACTTCAGCCATAAGTTTCTTAACTCTAAACTTCTTGGGAGACTTATTCTTAATATGTCCATCCTTCTTGAATGAAGATAACTAAATGGTATATTTATATTACAAGAAAACTTAACGACATATCGTTTATAAACATATGTAATTACAAAAACAACAAAATTTGCAAGCAAGAGAATGTAAAGCATAAAAAAATGTTAGGTTTGTGACAATTAAGTTCACATTAAAATATTTCAACGCAAAGTAAACAAGGGAAGGGCGGTTTCAGTTTTCAGCATTTAAAGAATACACATTTTATGGAACATCTGTGATTGTGAATTTTCTAAAAGTCATTAAAACTGATCACCATTCTCTGCGGCATTTGGATATTTGAAATGTTAAGCACTTATAATCTTTCATTTGTGTAAAATCATATAAATTCTTTATAATACTTAATTTTTACTAAAGTTATTTTACAAATAGGAATTCAAAGTCATAGGTATCCGAAACAGTTTTCCTATTTAAAACGACAATTTGCTTTCAGAAGTTCATTCCTTTCAAAAACCAAATGCCGCCGGTCTGGCAGATAAAAAGGTTGAACGCTGGTAGTTTGACTCGAGATCCTATTTCAGGGAAAAGTTGACTATATTAGCGTTTTTTTTTGGCTAATCTCCTGAATAACGTAAACGGGTCAGTTTTTCTACGTAGTTTCCATAAAGGCATCCTTCCTTCTAGGCAGAAACGATGATGCAGTTTAATGTAATCTGATAATAATTATAATCTTAAATTCACGCTTGAGCCTGTTTGAAAACAGTTTAAAAAATAATTTACTTATTTCGGAGTAATTTTTGAAAGGTGTTTAAAAGTCTACTTTGAGATCATTAATTTATTTTAAACGCGGAGTTCATATCCGTTGAATGCATACATCTCATTAGTTATAAATGAAAAAAAGCTAAACTTAAGGATTAATAAGACAACATCTGCCAGTTATTTACAACTTAGAATGAGCAATACTTTTCCTTATTTCTTAGTAACAAATTTATATTAATATATAGTTTATCAATCTCCTAAACTATATATTCTTTAAATTAGCTCTAATTTTTTAAAACTCGTTAGTTATTGTCTTAAAATTTTGTAGTATTTGTCTGAAGGGTTTTTTTAATTATTATTTTACTTCCTTGAACGAAGTAAAGAAAGTATTCTAATCGCAAAATATTCGGGTTTATAAAGTCAATAGGTCTTTTTTAAAGCAGGAGACGAGAAAAATGTGCAATGAATTGCCGGGACTCGAACCGTGGACCTCTCGAATACGCATCGCAAATGTTTTCAATTACACTACGAATGCATGCAAAAAGGAGAGAGAATTAGTTCGGACGCCACTTGTAGAGTTACTAGGTTCTTTTTGCAGGAGGAGATATGAAAATCTCTAGTACACTCGTCGGGACTCTAACCCTGGATCTCTCAAATATGCGTTGAGTACCCTTCCAATTACACCATGAAGGCATGCGGAAAGCAGAAAGAAAAAACCTTATAACATTTTGATACCTTGTAGGGTCCAGGTGCGTTAACTTCTGTCGGGATACAGGAGTAGCTGGAAATTACACAGAAGAAAGGTTCAAACCCTTTATTAACGCTTTCAAATTTACACTGCGTCAACTCGACATTAACAAACTTCGCCTCTACTTGGGCGGTAACTGAAAAGCAGGTAATTGAAAATCAAAAGTTGAAATGTTTAACAAATCCTAAACTAACCTACGGGCTCAACGAGATCCCGAACTTCAACTCCCTTCTAAGCTAGTGGCAGTAAGACAAAGCAATTAACCCACCTGGACCCTACAACCTTATAGCATCCATTTTGACCGTTCCGGAATCCATTTGGGCGATTTTTGTGAGGCACGTCTGTGCGTATGGACAATAAAAAATTCATTTTATTCAAAAACCAATAGTAAAATGAATTTAATATAGATTTAAAAGGGATTTTTTTCGTACGGTAGTACGTATTGTAGGTACATATGTGTATGTGTACATCTGGAGTAACTCAAAAACGATTAGCCGTAGAAAGTTGAAATTTTACATAAAGGACTGATATAACATCTTGTTTTGCACTTCTTCCTTTTTATTGCACTCGGCGGTATATTTATATACATATATATAACCTTTCCCTTAACCGTCTTAAAATTCCTTACCCGGCCTTTATTTTCGCAATCCTTGGTCGTAGTCATATACTTTCAATTACAAGAAGTGTTTTAATGAACGAAAATATTCGTGATTTAGCAATAACAAATAAAAATTAGCTTTCTACAAATAACGAAAATCTAAACACTCGTATAAAAAGAGTGTATATATCTAGTTAATCTAATTATAAATATTTAAAAATATTTTATATCAATTTGTTGTTTTAAATTTGTAACAGTATTTAATATCAGTTTACTGTTGTTCTATAAAGAATATTTAATAGGTCGTAGAAGAATGGTGGTGTGTGTGGCGTCTATAACAGATTTTTATAAACAAATTTAGAAATCGACCTGCAAATGAGGACATAAGGAGATTTTTGTTATTTTTAGGCTCTACCTTTTGATTTTATTAAATTATTTTCAGTGACAGAAAAAATAATAAATAACTATCGATGTCAAAACAAGCAGAAAGAAGTAGTTATTTTGTCTCAGTACTTGCGTTGTTTGGCGGAGTAAACATTTTACGACTGAAGCAAGGTTATAACCAGCTCCGAATTAGAGAAGGTACGTCCGTATGCTGAAACGGTACGTCTTGAAAAACAGGCGCTTTTGTCTACCTGATTCGAATTCAGACATTTGTAAAAAATCGAAAATATTTTAACGTTAACCGTTTCATAAATTTTGCGAATTATCTCTTCTACTAATATTTTGTATATCCTCTCTTCTGCCTTAGTACAAACATTCTGAGAGCAAGCTATAACTGCTGCAAATGAAACATATTTCAGGACGTTTTAGCATGCACACTTTGTTCGCGATAAGTACTTCAATAAAATACCGAAGACACGTTTTTATTGAAAATAATTAGAAAGGAGTTACATAAATATCTGAATAATTAGAAAGAAGTTAAATAAATATCTTAAAACTGAAAATCAGTGAGATATTAGACATATATGATATAAGTTAATTTTACTGGATTGTTAAATTTTTTATTATTTCAGAATATACAGAATTTTATGACCATTTTCAAAAAATCAGTTTCGTTTTGAAGCGAAGAAATTCTATGGAATTCAAATCTCTGAAAAAAATTCTATTTCTAAAAAAATTCTATGAAAAAAATTCAATCTACATTTTGAAATGTTAAAAATGTGCTTTCAGTATGCCTCATTTTTGTATAAAAGATAAAAGAAAGATAAGAAAATCCGATTCGAATTTTGGAAAGAAATCGCTTTCGAGGTGCACTGTTCTAGATGCACCTATGTACCAAATTTCGTAGCCCTGGGTCTATTAGCTTAAGCGCACCACGAACAAAAGACACACAAGCACATTTATTATATGTAGAGATTAGTTAAAAAATTAAATCTATTTTAGAATTCTTTATTTCGTAACCTTGCATTAGCAACAGAAGTTCAATTTAAAAAGATTATATAATTGCCTAAGTTAACTTTCCCTGAAGTGTTCGTCTAGAAAGTCCTCCAAGAAGGCGTCCCTCCCCTTAGGCAGATAGCCCTCGTGTGCTTCGCCATAATTAAATTAAATACACCAGCTTAAGTGTTCGAAATGGCTTTCTGTCTATTAAAAACGTGTTACTCATATTTAACTCCGTTCCACTTCCTATGCTATGTTTTGCTTGCTTTTCTTCGATGCAGAACTACCAGTGTTCAGCGTCTTTACCACTCGGCCGCTGGTGGGCCCTCAAAGCGAGTCGAAGCAACACTGTACGGAATGAAATATTTCAATCTCCACCTCGTAGGTTAGTCGATCAGTAAATTCCAAAACTATGCTGTTTTAAATATTTAACCCAAACGGCGTTAGCCAGAATGCTCTTGAAAGGACTGTCATATAAATTTCAGAAGCACCATAGTTGTACATATCTGAATTCACGATGCTCCTTAAATATTGGCATACATTTTTCTGTTCTTTTCAGTCTTTTTTCAGTTAATCGTATGAATTCGGCTTCACGAAATTTTTTTTCGAGTGTTGCCACAGTTCTCTTTCAAATCGTTGAGTTTGTAAATGAAAAATTCATTATTAAAGTTTTACACAGTATGAAATAGATAATAAAACAAATTGGACATTCAAAGTTTGGGCTTCCAGGTGTCCATGTTCGGATGGAGGCCTACGTTACTCAGAATTGGATGGCTCTAGGTACCGTTGTTTTTTCGCAATGGAAGAAAACATGCAGATTCTTCTTTAATTAATTTTCTTTAAATATAATACTTTAAATAGTATCGCGTGACAACAGCTCAGATGAATGCTGAAAATATTGGCACTGTCAGTTATCAGTCAATTAAGTGTAACGTAGCGAATTGAATGCATAAAGTAATTGAAATTAATGATATGGCGTTTTTTTATGGCACTATTTACTATTTAAAGCTATGATTATTCAAATTCACATTCATTAAGTGTAAACATTCATTAAGTGAAGTAATTCGACTGGTTTAGATAATGAGAAATTAATGCCAATAGCCTGTTTTACAATTTGAAAAGTGAGCCGACATTTATAGTTAATTGGCACAAAATGCTGAAACGAAATTATTAGTTCTTCTGGGCAAACTGTCCCTTTGGACTAAAAAAAATGTCATCTGCGACTTCCATGGCAACTCAAATCGTTTTCTTTTTCTTAGTAGCGCTGCCACAACGGTAAAGTACAACTAAAATATGTCACAAAACGGCGTATTTTTGTGAAAATGTGTTTGTTTGTTTTTATATTTATATACGATTTTCGTAAATATCACACAGGGACAGTTTTAAATATTTATGTAAATTTTTTATCAAATCATAAACTAAATACGTAGCCGTTACATTTATAAATCATCGGAAATACTCCATCTTGATTTAAGCAGTATTTTCATGTAACAAATAACTGTTCGTTTTCAGCCTTCGTACTGTAGTTGGAAGCACGACCGGTTACAAATCGGAATCAGAAAATCT